CTTTCCGAGGTGGAAGAAAAGGGAGAAAAGAGATCTGGTGGGTCCCTTTTTCTAGACAGCAGCTGCATCTTCCAAGTCAGGGTTTTCTGCCAAGTGGAACTTCTGTCTGAGAGATCATCTTGTTAAGGGAATAAAATAAAGCTGCATCTACACTATAGAATTAACACAGTTTGATACCCCTTTCTTCTTATTCTTATTACACTACGGCCCCTTCCGCATAGCTGTATTAAATCCACATTGAACTGGATTATATGGCTGTGTCTACTCAACCCAGATTTGTGGATTATCTGCCTTGATATTCTGGGTTATATGAGTGTGTGGAAGGGTCCTATGCAACATTATTTTTGTTCCTGGGTTATAAATGTCATTTCCTATTTGGCTCTACCATAAAAACATTTAAAAAGTTTATGAAACTGCCAAACGTTAAGGAAACAAATTTAGGATTAAGACTAATAAAAGTGCATATTTCATTCTGGTCAGGCATCCGGACAACGTGGCCGGTCCAGCGGAGTTGATGGTGGAGGACCATCGCTTCAATGCTGGTGGTCTTTGCTTCTTCCAGCACACTGACGTTTGTCCGCTTGTCTTCCCAAGAGATTTGCAGGATTTTCCAGAGGAAGCGCTGATGGAATTGTTCCAGGAGTTGTATGTGACGTCTGTAGACAGTCCACGTTTCGCAGGCATATAGCAGGGTTGGGAGGACAATAGCTTTATAGACAAGCACCTTGGTATCCCTACGGATGTCCCGGTCCTCAAACACTCTCTGCTTCATTCAGAAAAATGCTGCACTCTCAGAGCTCAGGCGGTGTTGTATTTCGGTCTTCCAAATGCCCACCAAACCCTGTTGGTCATGGGAGTTCTGTGTGTCAAGTTTGGTTCAATTTCATCATTGATTGAGTTCAGAATGCTCTTTGATTGTAGGTGAACTATGAATCCCAGCAACTACAACTCACAAATGACAAAATCAACAACCCCACCAGTATTCAAATTTGGGTATTTGTGCCAAATTTGTTCCAGTGAATGAAAATACATCCTGCATATCAGATATTTACATTATGTATTGTCGAAGGCTTTCATGGCTGGAATCACTAAGTTCTTGTGGGTTTTTTTTCGGGCTATATGGCCATGTTCTAGAGGCATTTCTCCTGACTTTTCGCCTGCATCTATGGCAAGCATCCTCAGAGGTGAGGTCTGTTGGAACTGGGAAAAAGGGGTTTATATATCTGTGGAATGGACAAAATAGACAACCTCACAGGAAAATGGAGAAAAACATAGCTGTCCACACCAACAGACAAAAACAAAAATTCCACAAACGACAAAAGCAACAGCCGAAACCAGAACTGGATACATCACGGACCATCATCAACCTGACAGACAGACAACTCTCTGAAGACCAAGTATCCATACTAGCGAAAGGAGGAAACTTTGCTGTAACCGCCACCAGGATCCCAACAGAAAACATCATTGCCAATGTCGAATCAGCAATTTATCGCCTCACAGAGGAAGAAGCAGAAGAAGTACGAGCGGAAGCAGCAAGGATCCTGAAAAAGGCAAAACTCCCCTCCAGTAACATTATGAGGAAGGAAAGACAAGCCATTAGAGACCTCAGTTCAGATCCTGATATCCTCATTCTGCCAGCAGACAAGGGGAATGCCACAGTAATCATGCATACAGAACAATACAAGGAGAAGACCAGAAAACTCCTGGACCCCACTATATACAGAAAACTTAAGCAAGATCCAACTTCCAAAATAACCAGAAAAACCAACACTTTGATTAAGAACTCCTCAATCAACTTTGACATACGACAGCAGCTATGTAAATCGGAAGCCGTTCCACCCAGGCTTTATGGACTCCCAAAAATCCATAAGGACTCCACCCCACTCAGACCCATCGTGAGTGCCATTGGATCCCCCACGTACGACTTAGCAAAATTCCTTGCTGCACAGTTACAAAGCCACATTGGGCTCACAACACACTACATCAAGGACTCAGCCCACTTCATTGAAAAAATCAGCAATCTCAAGCGAAATACCAATGACAAACTGATCAGCTTCGATGTGGTGTCTCTATTTACCATGGTCCCAGTTGCAGACATCATGGCACTCATCAACCAGAGGTTCCCAGAAGACATCACGGCTCTGTTTCACCATTGCCTCACCACTAGCTACTTTCAGTGGGACAATGAATTCTACGAACAGAAAGATGGAGTAGCTATGGGGAGCCCTCTCAGCCTGGTCATAGCTAACTTCTACATGGAACACTTTGAAAAACAAGCTCTTGAAACAGCAACCAAAAAGCCCACTATATGGTTCAGATATGTGGATGACACTTTCACCATTTGGAGCCATGGAGAAGAAGAACTCAACAGGTTCCTGGAACATCTTAACAGCATCCACCCAAACATCCAGTTCACTATGGAAAAAGAAAAGGAAAGAAGACTGCCTTTTCTAGATGTCCTAGTCATCCGTAAACCAGATCAACAATTGGGTCACACTGTTTACAGATATCTACATAAAAACTCCAACCATCACCCAAGTCAAAAAAGAAGCACCATTAAAGCCTTGGCAGACAGTGCAAAAAGAATCTGCGAACCCCACCTCCTTCAAGATGAACTGAACCACCTCAACTGGGCTCTACAGGCCAATGGATACTCCACCTCAGACATCAGAAGAGCTGCAAGACCAAGAACAAGCCACGAGAGTAAAGACGAAGATCCACCCAGAGGAAAAGTGTTCTTGCCATACATCAAGGGAACCACTGACCGCATAGGGAAGCTGATGAGGAAACACAACATACAAACAATCTACAGACCTACTAAGAAAATCCAGCAAATGCTACGTTCAGCAAAGGACAAGAGGGATCCTCTCACCTCTGCAGGAGTCTACCGTAAACCATGCAGCTGTGGACAAGTCTACATAGGGACCACCAAACGCAGCATTGCCCAAACACGAATCAAGGAACATGAAAGGCACTGCAGACTACTTCAACCAGAGAAATCAGCCATAGCAGAGCACCTGATGAACCAACCTGGACACAGCATTTTATTTGAGAACACAAAAATGCTGGACCACACCAACAACCACCATGTCAGACTACACAGAGAAGCCATTGAAATACACAAACATGTGGACAATTTCAACAGAAAGGAGGAAACCATGAAAATGAACAAGATCTGGCTACCAGTATTAAAAAATTCTAAAACTGCAACAGCAAAAACAGCAGAGAGGAAACAGGCAGGGACATCTAATTACTAGGCTTGGGTAACCACGGAAAAAATTGGTTCTAAACTCGTTTTGTTTTTAGGGGGCCCTTGCGTTTCGTTTTTTTAATAATGCCGAAATTTTCCTTTAAAAAATTTCGAAATTTATGAAATTTCGTAAAATTACGAATCGATTCGTTAATGGCGGACGCGATTGCGCAATATGCTAAAAAAACATCCAAATGGGACAGGGGGAACTTCTGAAGCTTCCCTCTCCCTCTGTTGTTGACTGTTGGTGTGATAAAACAAACAACAACTATAAAACTTGCACCAGACATGCGAAAATAATTACGAAATAATTACAAAATAATTACGAAATAATTACGAAATAAATTGAAAAAATTGTTTCGAATCTTAATTACTCCTCACACTATTCCTGCATGGCTCAATATTGGATCGTAAGCTAATTTAAATACGAATTAATAACGAATTACGAAATTAACGAACGAAACCGCCCAAGCCTAATACAAACATTTGCTCCAGGCACAGTCAGCCCATGGTATGCTAATCAAGGTGGTCAGTTGAAACATTCACACCTAGCTCCAGCAGACAAGAGTCCTTTGTCTCACCCTGGTCATTCCACAGATATATAAACCCCTTTTCCTAGTTCCAACAGACCTCACTACCTCTGAGGATGCTTGCCATAGATGCAGGCGAAACGTCAGGAGAAATGCCTCTAGAACAGTGTTTCTCAACCTGGGGGTCGGGACCCCCATGGGGGTCACGAGGGGGTGTCAGAGGGGTCGCCAAAGACCATCAGAAAACATAGTATTTTCTGTTGGTCATGGGGGTTCTGTGTGGAAAGTTTGGTCCAATTCTATCGATGAGGTTCAGAATGCTATTTCATTGTGGGTGAACTATAAATCCCAACAAATACAACTCCCAAATGGCAAGGTCTATTTTCTCCAAACTCTACCAGTGTTCACATTTGGGCATATTGAGTATTTGTGCCAAGTTTGATCCAGATCCATCATTGCTTGAGTCCACAGTGTTCTCTGGATGTAGGTGAACTACAACTCCAAAAAACTCAAGGTCAAAGTCCACCAGACCTTCCCAGTATTTTCTCTTGGTCATGGGAATTCTGTGTGCCCAGTTTGATTCAATTCCATCATTGGTGGAGTTCAGAAGGCTCTTTGATTTTAGGTGAACTATAAATCCCAGCAACTCCAGCATTACCAAATGACAAAATCAATCACCCCCAACCTCACCAGTATTCAAATTTGGGAGTATTGGGTATTTGTGCCAAATTTGGTCCAGTGACTGAAAATACATCCTGCATATCAGATATTTAGATTACCATTCCGAACAGTAGCAAAATTACTGTTGTGAAGTAGCAACGAAAATAATATTATGGTTGAGGGTCACCACAACATGGGGTCACCACAATATGAGGACAACATGTACTAAGTGGTCGCGGCATTAGGAAGATTGAGAACCACTGCTCTAGAACATGGCCCTATAGCCCGAAAAAACCCACAAGAACATATTTTCATTATGATTCATAACAGTAGCAAAATTACAGTTGTGAAGTAGCAAAAAAAACATAAATTATGGTTGGGAGTCACTACAACATGAGGAACTGGATTTAAGGGGTCGTGGCATTAGGAAGGCTGAGAAGCACTGCTGTAGAGGGAGGCCTTAGAGAGTCAAAGTGGCATGGGAGGGAATACAACCCCGCCCACTTCTGAGGCGGAAGTGTCTCCATGTCAACATTGGCCGGCCCGCCTTTTGAGGGGAAGCCGCCGGAAGCGACCGTGCTTGGAGGGGCGGGTCCGTGGCCAGTAAATATTGGTGACGTCAGGCTGCCAAGATGGCGGAGGGGTGAGCCTCAGAGGGAACGCGGAGGAGGGGAGGGAAGGGAAGGGAAGAGGAGGGGGATGGGTCTTTGCCCCCAGCTAAGGAGGAGGACCCTTGCGCATGTCAAGAGTGCTGCCCCCCCTAGACTTCTCTGCGCTTCCAAAGCAAGGGGCCCAAAGCAGCTGGGTGCTTTGTTGGGAAGAAAGGTCGGAGGAGGAGGAGGAGGAGGCACTGGGAGGGTTGAGTCTGCCGGGGAAGGAGAAGCCGTCTTGGGGGGGGGGGGGGGCCACACTGCAGAACTAATCCACTTTGACTCAGTGCTGTGGGATTCTGGAAGTTGTACTTTACTAAAGCAGTCCAACTGCATGATAGTCTACAATTCCTTACGGCCACGGGCCAACCTGGGCCCTCCCTCCAGGTGTTTTGAATTCAATTCCCACAGCCTGTTAATGATTTATTTATACAAAGGGATATGATACATCTTCATTCTTCTATGTTGTTGTTGTTTACCTTCAAATTGGGACCCTATTGTGATCCTATCACTGGTAAGGCTTTTTCAGAGAGGGGGTACCTTTTCCTTCATATGAGGGCCCTTCCACGCAGCTAAATAAAATCTCACATGATCTGTTTTGAACTGGAATAGATGGCAGTGTGGACTCAGATAGCCCAGTTCAAAGCAGATATTGTGGGGTTTTCTGCCATTATATTCTGGGATATAGGGCTGTGTGGAAGGGCACTGAGTCTCCACTGTCAGATAATCTGGGATAAGAAGATAATCTGGGATCAGATCCAGGAGTATAAGGATAGTGTACAAGGGGGCGGAGGGTCCTTCCACACAGCCCTATATTCTAGAATATCAAGGCAGAAAATCCCACAATACCTGCTTTGAACTGGGTTATATGAGTCCACGCTCAGATAATGCGGGATTTTCTGCCTTCATATTCTGGGATATAGGGCTGTGTGGAAAGGCATTGGGTCTCCACTGTCAAATAATCTCGGATCAGATCCAGGGGTATAAGAATAGTGTACAAGGGGGCTGAGGGTCCTTCCACACAGCCCTATATCCTAGAATATCAAGGCAGACAATCTCACAGTATCTTCTTTGAACAGGGTTATCTGAGTCCACACTCAGGGCCCTTCCACACAGCCCTATATCCCAGAATATCAAGGTAGAAAATCCCATAATACCTGCTTTGAACTGGGTTATCTGAGTCCACGCTCAGATAATGTGGGATTTTCTGCCTTCACATTCTGGGATATAGGGCTGTGTGGAAAGTACCTCAGATAATGTAGGATTTTCTGCCTTGATATTCTGTGCTGTGTGGAAGGGCCCTGAGTCTACACTGAGCATATAAAGTCATTCCATCTACATTGTACAAATCTACATCACCCATATAATGCAATTTCATCTGTTTTATAATGGCAGTGCAGAGGGGCCCAACATTTCCTTGGCAACCCCTAAGCAATGTGATCCTTTTGACCTTTGCTAAAACCTTTTGTATGGGAAAAATGGTTAGTAAATAATGACTAGATTTGGATGTCACAGGGCCCTTCCACACAACCCTATATCCCAGAATATCAAGGCAGAAAATCCCACAATATCTGCTTTGAACTGGGGTATCTGAGTCCACACTTAGGTAATGTAGGATTTTTTGCATTGAAATTCTGGGATATAGGGCTCTATGTGGCGAATAAGAAAAAAAATCAGACTTCCTCTATATCAGAAGTAATATAAGAAAACCCTAAACTCCCTCCATATCAGAAGTAATTTTTGTTGGCAGGTAGTGGGAAAGTGGAGACAGGAAAGACACAGTTGATTTGCGAGACCCTGGAAAATAAATGCCTTCAGTGTGGGTCACAGCTGCTGTCATTGTCTCTTTGTGTGCCTTGGAGGCTGCTGAGTGTCTTAAAAGGAAGACTGGTTTTTGATTGTGCTTTTCCTGCCTGATAGCAGAAGGAGGTTGGACTAGATGGCCCTCTTTGGGGTCTCTTACGATTCTATGTTTCTGTGCTGCAAAGGTCCTCGAAGGTGTTCTCAATATGTATTTCTGATGGTTGGAAATGGACATTATTCTAGTACTTCCAACAGGAAGAGATAAATCAAGGACATCAGTGTAGTTCTGATTTTGAGGTTGGGTCCATCTACACTGCCATATAAAATATAATAATAATAATAATAACAACAACCACACAACAACAACAACAACAACAACAACAACACTTTATTTATATTCCGCTCTATCTCCCCGGAGGAACTCAGGGCATATTCCAAACATAAAAGGCAAACATTCAATGCCCGAATACAACAATGCATTCATACTAACAGTGTAGATCCAGCTGTTCTTTTGCTTTTGAAAACAGAGTTCCTGAACTATAGCTAGGGAAGGATTCTGCAAATGTTTAATAGAAGCAGAATCCACTTATACATTAAGATCTACAACACACTCCTTGAGTTTATGATGTAAAATTCCCACTTTCAGCTTCATATGTTTGTCCTGTAACAGGGAAGATGGAGGCTGGTGGCGGAGCTGGCTGCAGCAAAGCCTTCAAACAGTCAAAGAGAAGGTGGGTAGACTGGCCTGTTATCAAAAAGTGTCTCTCTCTCAACTCTTTGAGCAAACTACTTCCTTTTGTACACTTCTCACTTCAGATTGTGGCTATATTTCATTTCGTGAGCCCACTTCTTCTGAAATGAGCTGGAAGCAAGGTCTTTGAATACTTGTATGCTTGGTTAATAAGTGTTTTTTCTAGGACAAAGATGCATGCTTTAGTGGTTGCTTTGATAGCAAGTGATGTCAGTTGTTATGGCCCTCCTTCTTCTATATACTTACAGAACAGATATCTGTATAACTGAGTACACAGGAAATAGTATGTTATTGTTAATTATTGAAATAACAAATATACTGTTGTGTAGTAGGTTTTTTATATATACAGCATCCAAATACAATTCTTATCGTCGAAGGCTTTCATGGCTGGAATCACTACCTCTGAGGATGCTTGCCATAGAGGCAGGCGAAACGTCAGGAGAAATGCCTCTAGAACATGGCCCTGTAGCCCGAAAAAACCCACAAGAACCTAACAATTCTTATCTTTATTACAAGGAAATGTCTATATTTACATTAATTTTAAGGTGGGAGACATCAATCTCCTCTTAGTAAAGGCAGTTCAGAGGTCCAACATGTTCAGAGGTCCAATATCTGTGTCGCACAATAGAATATTCAAAGCAAAGCCAGTGGTTCCCTACTGAAATTGCCAGATAGTATCTCCTATTGATATACCAAGCAATAGTGGAAGGAACAGAGAAGACCAGATTACCTGAGGAAGGTGTACCCACAACAAATGCCGAAACAAGGAAATGCTACCAGGGATACCTTGTAGTAACTTCTGTGACCTCTCAGAACTCTTCTCTGATACTACTACAATTTCTTATGTAACAAACGATCCTCCAAGAAACCTAGGATTGGTTTTTTGAACCATCAGTCAGATTCTGTCAACATATTAGCCCTCCAAACTGCCTTTACTAAGAGAAGATTGATGTCTCCCTCTTCCTTCTTCATCATACCTTCATCTTAAACCAGTAATTCTCAATCTGTGGGTCCCCAGGTGTTTTGGCCTACAACTCCCAGAAATCCAAGCCAGTTTACCAGCTGTTAGGATTTCTGGGAATTGAAGGCCAAAACATCTGGGGACACACAGGTTGAAGAACCAACATGGCTTTGGAACAGCATGTTGAATCAAGATGTCATTTCAAATTCTTCCTCTGTTGTCAACCCACTCCAATTATCTATCTTTTCGCTTGACTTCCTGTGCTATTAAAGTAGAGGTAATGATAGAGTCCTACCGCCACAGACCTGTTATGCAAACAAACAAGTTAATGATTGAGAACTGCTTCAGTGCTGTTGTAGTGAAGCCTTTGCTTGGAAAGAAATCCCATTGTTTGCAGGGAAGCTTACTCCTTGGCTGGTAGATATCTTATTTATATAAGTAGTTATATTCTGCCCTTTATCAATAGAGCTCAGAGCATTTTACAATAGCTTTACAATACAAGGCAACACCTTGTTGGGAATGTAGTTAGAGCAAGATGAAATGCTACTAGACTTATAATGTCCCCCCTCCTAAATGATTTGACCTCCCCTATCAGTCTTCCCCCTTCGATTCCATCCCTGTTACATTAACCTGTATTTTTAAACTGTAATTTTAAACTTTTTAAAAAAATCTGTTTTTAAATAACTGCTTTACTGGGGGGCTGTGTTTTCCCTTCCTATGGCGCTTGTGCCCCGCTTTATGCTGGTCACTGACCGTACTAAAGTTTTGTATTGTATACAATAGCATTAAAATGGATTAAACAGCTTTAAAGCAGTAAGATAATTATCAATCTGTCAGGGATACTTTGATTGTGCTTTTCCTGCATGGCAGGGGGCTGGATTAGATGTCCCATGTGCTTTCTTCCAACTCTATGATTCTATGATTCTATGAAATGAGCTGAAAATTTATTTATTTATTTATTTGTGGTATTTGTAGCCCGCCTTTCTCAGTCCTAAGGCGACTCAAGGCAGGTTACAGATTGGCAACAATTCAGTGCCACACATTCATAAACAATACAATTAAAAACATTCAGCATAACATTATAAAAACCATTAAAACATATATAAAATAGCACAGCCCAAGTAAAAGCAATTCCTTTGTGTCTTGGTTTTTAGGCCTGTTCCTGGGGTTATTTGGATTTGATTCAGAAAATTGCATTGGATAGACCACTTTGATTTCTTAGACATGGTTATCATGGTTTTCTGTGGGTGAGAAGATAAAGATTGGTATAAGGCACATTTTTGAAATCAGCAGGTCAGATATACCCAGAAACAGGGCTAACATTCGAGGCACCATAATGTGTGTTGGCCAGTGTAATATAATGAATTAAAAACAGATTTTAAAAATGTAAAAGTTTTAAAAACTACAAATTATGGACTCTGAGTTTTATTAATGAATGCCAAAGGTTTTTATGAACGGCCCAAGTTTTAAACTGGCATCTAAACTGGGCCTTCAGGGTGATAGCATTCCATTCAACACCAAGCATGAGCCTGTTCTCATCTCTCTTTGCTGCAGTCCACAGAGGCCTTGGAGTTCATGAAGCGAGACCTGACAGAATTCACACAGGTGGTCCAGCATGACACAGCCTGCACGATTGCGGCCACTGCCAGCGTGGTCAAAGAGAAACTGGCAGTGAGTAGGCACCAGATGCTGAACTAGAGTGATCTGGGTGGGAGGGAAGGAGGGAAGGTATAACGGGTCTTCTTTTCCCTCCATCATAATGTTCCCCCCACCCCTTTCCCTGATGTTACTTTGGTGCCTCCCATTTGGACTCAAGGGGATGCAGCCATGTCTGGTTTCTTGTCTGTATTTTCTGATTGCCTTTTTCAAAAATGTTTTTGAGAAGACAGAGAACTCCTCGGGTGCCACTGAAAAGGTGAGGAAAGGGCTCTCCAACTTCCTGGGTGTCATCTCAGACACATTTGCCCCTTCGCCGGATAAGACCATTGACTGTGACGTCATAACGCTGATGGCCACCCCTTCGGGGACAACGGAATTGTACGACAGTGCCAAGGTGCCTTTGTCTTCCTTGTCCCCCAGACCATTCCATTTCTCTCTATTTGCTATCAGGATCTCATGTTCATATGCTTCTCCTCATCTCTCCTCTTCTAGGCACGGCTATACAGCCTTCAGTCGGACCCAGCCACTTATTGCAATGAACCTGATGGTAAGACATAGTATGGAGAAGTATGAGGGTTAAGGACTGTTGGGAAAGGAATAAGCCAGCTGCACAGTGGTAACGACAGCCCACAATATGCTGTTGGCTTCATAGAGCCAAACCTTCCACATTTTTGCAGTGAATGCCTTTCTTCTACCACAGCGTTTCTCAACCTGGGGGTCGCAACCCCTGGAGGGGTTAAATGGGCATTGTAGAGGGGTCACCAAAGACCATAAGAAAACACATATTTCTGATGGTCTTTGAAACTACAACTCCAAATCTCAAGATCAATGCCCACCAAACCCTTCCAGTATTTTTTGTTGGTCATGGGAGTTCTGTGTGCCAAGTTTGGTTCAATTCCATTGTTGGTGGAGTTCAGAATGCTCTTGGATTGTAGGTGAGCTATAAATCCCAGCAACTACAACTTCCAAATGTCAAGGTCTATTTTCTCCAAACTCCACCAGTATTCACATTTGGGCATATTAAGTATTTGCGCCAAGTTTGGTCCAGATCCCTCATTGTTTGAGTCCATAGTGTTCTCTGGATGTAAATGAACTCCAACTTCAAAACTCAAGGTCAATGCCCACCAAACCCTTCCAGTGTTTTCTGTTGTTCYTGGGAGTTCTGTGTGCCAAGTTTGGTTCAATTCCATTATTGGTGGAGTTCAGAATGCTCTTCGATTGTATAAATCCCAGCAACTACAAGTCCCAAATGACAAAATCAATCCTCCCCAACCCCACCAGTATTCAAATTTTGGTGTATTGGGTATTGTYCCAAATTTGGTCCAGWGAATGAAAKTACATCCTMCATATCKGATATTTACARTYWGATTCATAACAGTAACAAAATTACAGTTATGAAGTAGCAYRGYAAATAAATTTATGGTTGGGGATCACCACAACATGAGAAACTATGTTAAGGGGTCGCAGCATTAGGAATGTTGAGAACCACTGTTCTAGTACAAAGGCGGGCAAAGTATGGCTGTGGCCTGCACACAGCCCCAGGGCCATTTTTGTGGTTCCCAGAGCCCACAGGGTTTTATTTTAGAGCTCCAATGCCCTCTGGGGATGTTGGGGACATTTTCAGTATATTTTGACTTCCCTGCTCTGTGCAATTTTATATTCAGGAGAGGCATTTTTTCAAAACAGGAAGTGACCCCTGCTCTCAGACTGTTCCTTGAAAAAGGCTATCCTTGGGCTTAGAATAGCCTTGTGCTGGTCTAAAAATTTGGCAAATGGCTCCCCTTCCCTTTTCCAGGGGCATATTAGAGCAACGTTTAAAAGAAATAGGCAGAGAGATGTGGCCCTCCAAGGTGTTTTGGGAGGTTTATGTGGCTTCTCAGAGTTGCCTTCCAGACCACAATGATGTCAAAGGAAAGTGTGATGATGTATTGTGGATTGGTCTGGCATGTGGAGAAAGCATGATTTGATCACATCCAGGTTTAGAAATGCTGCTTAGCCATGAAACATCCTGAGTGACCTTTATTGGAAAAGGCCCATGAGAATGTGATGCAGCAATCCCAGATAAGAGCCAAGTTTCCCTTGTGCTGCCCCTTCTTCCTTACCGTCCTTCCCCTTTTACTCTCTTCTTCCTCACCTTCCAGCTATCTGCATGATGGAAGCAGTAGGAGCTGGAGCTGAGGAACAGGAGAAAGCCATCCCAACAACTTTGAGTTCTCCTAATTGCAGGGTATCTTAGAGCAGAGTAGGGATGGTGAATGTTTGTGTGGGAAGTCTGCCTCCTCCCTGTTAAACCTGTTCGAATAGTGGAATCTGAGCTTTGAGGAGGCAGCATGTGAGCAGGGTGGAGTTTCAAGCGTTCTGAGTCAGCCTGGTCTGGTCTTGTCCCTTGTTTCTTCCTTCATTTTCCCCAGCTTTTTATTCTATTAATGAAACACCCAAACAAACAGATGCCAAGGCATTTGACATGACAATGGTTAATTCCTTAATGAAGTGGAAGAGGGGAATTCTGGAAGAACAAAACTAGATGTTAAAATCTTGATGTTAAACCCAGGGCAACCCAATCTGAGCCCCCGGTGGCACAGCGGGTTAAACTGCTGAGCTGCTGAACTTGCTGACTGAAAGGTCAGCCATTCAAATCCGGGGAGCGGAGTGAGCTCCCACAGTTAGCCCCAGCTTCTGACAACCTAGCAGTTCAAAAACAAGCAAATGTGAGTAGATCAATAGGTACAGCTTTGGCAGGAAGGTAACAGCACCCCATGCAGTCATGCTGGCCACATGACCATGGAGGCATCTATGGACAACGCCGGCTCTTCGGCTTAGAAATAGAGATGAGCACCACCTCCCAGAGTAGGACATGACTAGACTTAATGTCAGGGGGAAGCCTTTACCTTTACCCAATATGACTGATGAATCAGTGCAATGGACCAAGCTCCTTTTGATGCAGCAGATCATCTGGAATTGAGACTAACCAGTGATTTTTACCTGACTTTGCCCAGGTAAAAACTTCTTCAAATATTGGCCTGACCTGACGTGCTCCTTTTACATTCTTGTCACCAAAGGTCAGCATTCCACAGTTAGGCAGGCTATGCTCCCTCTCTGACACACATAGCTTTATCTTCTGGCAGAAATCCAGCCTGTTTAAATGTGGGAAACACAGCAGACTTTGCAGGATAGCAAATGGACACTGAATTATAGCATAGTCTTTTTGTGATCCAGTCTCTGCCCATCTACACGCAAAGCATCCCTTGCAGGTGTCCATCCAAGCTCTGTCCAAAACCTTCCAATGGAGAGGAGTCCACCACCTTCTGAAGTATTCCGTTCTGTTCCATTGCTTGAGCATGTCTGCATAAATAGGAGTATAGTGCCTAGATCCAGGGAAGTCATGCTATCCCTCTCTTCTGCCTTGGTCAGACCACACCTGGAATACTGTGTCCAGTTCTGGGCACCACAGTTTAAGGGAGAAGTTGACAATCTGGAATGTGTCCAGAGAAGGGCAACTTAAATGATCAAGGTCTGGAGAACAAGTCCTATGAGGAGCGGCTTAAAGAGCTGGGCATGTTTAACCTGCAGAAGAAAAGGCTTAGAGGAGACATGATGAGTGCTTGTATAAACATGTGAGGGGAAATCATAGGGAGGAGAGGGCAAGCTTGTTTTCTGCTGCCCTGGAGACTAGGACGCAGAGCAGTGGCTTCAAAAGACAGGAAAGGAGATTCCACCTGAACATTAGGAAGAACTTCCTGACTGTGAGAGCTGGTCAGCAGTGGAACTCTCTGCCCGGCACTGTGGTGGAGGCTCCTTCTTTGGAGGTTTTAAACAGAAGATGGATGGCTATCTATCGGAGGTGCTTTGAATGCGATTTTCCTGCTTCTTGGCAGAGGGTTGGACTGGATGGCCCACGAGATCTCTTCCAACTCTATGATTCTTGCTGTCAGGCATTTCTTCTGATTCTGAGTTGCAGTGTCATTGCTTGGGTTTTGCATCCATTGTTTCGGGCCCTACTTTGTAAGATTGCAGCACTAGGGTTGTTCAGCCTGACATGTGAAGATCATCTTCATTTCCCCTTTCAAGAGTCTCGGTTTATTTTTGCCACCACCAAGGATGGCTGCAGAACTGCTATTAGAGTACTTTGGCTGATTCTGTTATGATGTGACCTATTCTTCAAGCTCATTCCAGCCACTTGCCCCTCTTCCATTATGCTTTGATTGTCTTCTTTTTTCACTCCTCCCTTTGCAGGACCCTCTCAACTTTTTGAGGCCTGGCTTTCACACTTCAACCTGGAGGAGAAAAAGGGGGAGATCTCGGACTTGCTGGTGAACAGTCCTTCCATCCGCTCCCTCTACTCCAAGATGGTAAGGAATCCTACTCTCTTGATCTCCATGGTCTTGTTCCCAAGTCAGATGTTCTGGGTTAGTCCCTTCAGAACATCCTCCAGTGCCATTTTCTGCTAGATGTATTAGATGAAACTGAAAGGGTGGTACGAACCTTGCCTTCTTTGCTTATTTAATTCTGTTTTAAAGCATGCTGTGCCCATGAATCCACTATTCTTCTTATGATTCCAGGTCCCAGCAGCAGTCTCCCACTCAGAGTTCTGGCAGCGCTATTTCTACAAAGTCCATCAGTTGGAGCAGGTGAGTTGGCCCCGCAAGAGTGAGATAAATACCTTGCTCCTTTAGAAGGCACAGCATGATGGTTCTCCATCACATCTCTGGAACATAGGATCTGTTCTTCACTGAGTTGTAATGGCCACTAAGTTTTCCTCTCCCAGGAGAATCAGGCCTTGGGTCTTGCTCTGAGGCTCTGCCCAGCAGAATAGCTGAGCAAGGACGTCAAGGAATCACGAGACCCATACTAATTCCTTTTATTTCCCAGGAGGAGGTCCGAAGGGAGGCCCTCAAGCAGCGAGCGGAGCAGAGCGTTCACTTAGAGGAGCCCAGATGGGAGGAGGAAGAAGGTAAATGAGCCACAACTATGTCCTAGAAAAATTCAGAATAATTTTTCCCTCTTTTTCCAGAGTCATTCTTGCTGGAAAAACTGACAAATAGATTGTGGGATATATTCTATTTTACTATGATGAATAAAATATTTAGAGCAGGGTGTTCTTATGTTTAGCTCCTCCAAACTATTTCTAAAAGGTCTGGAGTAAGAAGACACTTGGCTGAGAGTACATACCAGACATGGCAAACTTTGGCCCTTTCTCCAGGTATTTTGGACTTCAACTCCCATAATCCCTAACAGATGGCTATTAGGAATTGTGGGAGTTGAAGTCTAAAACACTTGGAGGGAGGACCAAAGTTTGCCCATGCCTGGTTTAATTAATAGTAATAATAAGAAATAAAGCCCAACTGCTCACTTTAGGGAAGGATACTAGAGACAAAGTTGAAGTACTTTGGCCACATCATGAGGAGACAGCAAAGCCTAGAGAAGACAATTATGCTGGGGAAAGTGGAAGGCAAAAGGAAGAGGGGCCGACCAAGGGCAAGATGGATGGATGGCATCCTTGAAGTGACTGGACTGACCTTGAAGGAGCTGGGGGTGGTGACAGCCAACAGGGAGCTCTGGCGTGGGCTGGTCCATGAGGTCACGAAGAGTCGGAGACGACTGAACGAATGAACAACAAATAATAATAATAATAATAATAATAATAATAATAATAATCTTTATTTATATTTTGCCCTATCTGCCCGAAAACAACACTGCACCCATAATAATGAAAACTGACAACCTAACATATAAAACAAATCGTGCCTTAACAACTAAAATTAAATAAAACAATTTATTTACATCATTTATTTACGTCACTTTTATCCCGCCCATATCAGCCTGAAGGCGACTCAGGGCAGGGTACAAATCGGTACAATTAGATGCCATATAAAAATACATACAACGGTTAAAAGCAAAAAAATCACATTACAATACAATTAAAAACCGTAAAAGCAATAACAATAAAAATTATAAAAACTATGTCTTCTTGTTCAAATGCAACCTGTTATATCACACATAAGACAAAACATCAAACATCGGACAGAAGCATCAATTTCCCTGTTCCTTGGGGACAGATAGATTGATCATTACTCACAATGTCTATTGAGCTAGTGGGGCGAACAGGGCACAGATACGGATTGTAGCTATTAATCAGAGGGATAATGGTAGTATTACCATCTACTCTTCCTCCTCGTAAGCCAATGAGCAGAGGTCTTCAGCTGTTTCTTGAAGGTGGGGAGGAAGGGGGCAATCTTTAACTCCTTAGGAAGGGAGTTCCAGAGGTAGGGAGCGGCCACGGAGAAGGCCCTTTCTCTCATTCCCACCAGCCACTCTTTGGACAAGGGTGGGACTGAGAGCAGGACCTCCTCCCTGCTCTTTACTATATATGACAGTGGTTCTCAGCCTGTGGGTCCTCAGATGTTTTAGCCTTCAGCTGCCAGTAATCCTAACAGCTGGTAAAACTGGCTGGAATTTCTGGGAGTTGCAGGCCAAAACATATGGGGACTCACAGGTTGAGAACTACTGGTATGTGGTATATACAGTATCTCACATGATGGCCACTTTATCACTTTTTTCTCTTCTCTCTCGTGCATCAGAGGAGTTTCTAGGGTCGTCGTCGTCATCTCCCCAGCCCCACACGCAGCCTCCCTATGAGGCAAAGCCTGCCCCTGTCTTGACAACAGAGGTCACTCCAACCCTGGAGGTATCCATGGAAAGCTGGGCCACGCTCAGCCCTACCCCGGCCGAGGCCACCCCATCCGAAAGCAGCGAGAGTGTCTCCTTGATGACGCAGGTCACAAACCCAGCTTCAGCCGCCGCCACTGCACCCGCCCTGCCCACACAGACTGACGCCCAGCTCTCCGGGGCAGGGGACCTCTCCCCACGGCTGCAGGAAGCCCCCAGAGAAGAGTCCAAGACAGCAGAGCCCACACAGCCCGCCTCAATGCCCCAGGATGAGAAACCTTCGCCAGAGAAGCAGCCCAAGGAGGTGGCTGAAAGTAAGGGGCAAAGCCGGACGGACGGTCCCCGAGAGGAAGGACCGATGGACCTACGACTCTTCGAGCTTAACTCAGACAGCGGAAAATCCACTCCTTCCAACAATGGGAAAAAAGGTAGGCAGCGTGGGAAGGGCAAAATAGGCCTTCCAGTCTCTGCATAGGTAGAAGAGCGGGGTAGTCCTGTTCATTTTGTCCAATTTGTATTTCCACCAAAGACACAATGAATCTATTCTTGTGAGTGTCACTCATTTCTTGTCAGGAGCAATTGGTTAAATTATTTATATATTTATTATTTACCCTATTTATATCCCGCCTTTTCTCTACTCCGAAGGAAACTGAAGGCGGCTTACATATGGCAATAATTCAGTGCCTTAAACACATATACAAAACAGTAAGCTTAAAATAAATTAAAATTTATACATATTAAGCACTTAAAAACATTGTATTCAATACTAAAATCATGCCAACCAGAAATCGTTGTCCAAAGCCGTTCCATAGTCACAGTGAAATAGTTAAAAGACATGGAATTTGACATCATGGTCTGTATTCTCTACCCCAGTGGTTCTTAACCTGTGGGTGTTCAGATGTTTTGGCCTTCAACTCCCAGAAATCCTAACAGCTGGTAAACTGGCTGGGAATCCTGGGAGCTGTAGGCCAAAACACCTGGGGACTCACAGGTTGAAAACCTTCTCTACCTTGTACCCTTCCTTTGTCTAGTTCTTATCAGTAGGAACTCTTCATCCCAAACCCACCAGGTGCAAGGCTAATGCTGTGTCCAGCAGGGTGGGTTACAGGGGCTCATACTCTAGTTGGGCGAGTGCCAACTTGGTGTAATGCTTTAACCTCTGGCCTATGACTATCACAACATGGGCTGACTTAATTTCATCGGCGCCCCCAGTGGCGCAATGGGTTAAAACCCTTTTGCCAGCAGAACTGCTGACCAAAACGTTGGTGTTTTGAATCTGGGGAGCGGGATGAGCTCCTGTCTGTCAGCTCCAGCTTCCTATGCAAGGACATGAGAGAAGCCTCCCACAGGATGGTAAAACATCCGGGTGTCCCCTGGGCAACGTTTCTGCAGACGGCCAGTTCTCTCACACCAGAAGCGACTTGCAATTTCTCAAATCATTCCTGACATGAGAAAAAAAACCCCTAATCTCATGGGGTTGATAGTTGGAATGATTACACCACATGCATCAAATCCAAGGTCCACAGGCCAAAACTGGCCCTCCATGTCATTTTATGTGGCCTTCCAATGCTGTGCTACAACTTAGTAGAAATTACGACTAGAGCTGATGGGAGTTGGGATAAATTAACATCTGCAGGCTGCAGTTTGGTGGAAATACAAATCAGACAAAATGAACCTGAGAGAGGGGTTTTGATTGAGAAACAAGGCTTGTGGAGATGATGTCAGACTTTAAAATGCCCTTTCACCTTTCCCCAGCCTCAGGACCATATGGGCTGCCATTATCCCCAGTCGTCATAGAATATAATCAAAAGTGAAGGGAGTTGTTGTTCAATAACATCTATTGACTCAAGTGATTGTTTGCCCTCTGTCTCATTGAATTCTCCATCCATTGATCCAACGGTTCATAAAACTGATGATCTCAAGGAAAATAAGTTTGACACCCCTACTGTATACCATGCTGGCTCGCACTCTTATGTGGTAGTCCTTCCCAACATCAGAAGGACTGCCAATGTATACTAGTTACTGTAGGCTGTACGTCAGAAATGGCAAAACCACCCTCTGAAATTCATGGAGTCTTGTAAGTCCCAAACAACTTATTGATACACAACAGCAGTTGCTAAAGCCCTGAGTTCTGGCTGTGAATAATTTCCCATCCGGAAAGCCTTGCAACCCTAGATTGTCCTTCTCCTTCTTTCAGGTTCAAGCACAGACGTCAGCGAGGATTGGGAGAAGGACTTTGATCTGGACATGACCGAAGAAGAGGTTCAGCTGGCCCTCTCCAAGGCGGACATCACTGGGGAGGTAATTTATTATTATTGTTATTGCTATTATTATAATACGGTATATATATCCCACTTTATGTCTCTAAAAAGAGACCCAAAACAAAACAAAACAATAAGAAGCTTGCATCCTTTGGAATTTTAAAACAGGTCCCTAAACATGGGGACCTGTAATTTTTATTGTCTTTCTGGTTTCACGGAGGTTCAGATCTTCTTATCCCACCAAGTCTCTCGCTAGACACAGCATTCTTTCTATCTATCTCACCCACGGGTTTAACAATTTTTTTCCTTCGCATTTGGCTTTGCTCACCCTTGTTTAATTCTTTTATCATTCCATACTTTGTTTTGTTATGTTATTGCTTCTATTTTATTGCATTATTATATTATTATTAAGTATTTTTATTTGATGTTATTGTCTGTTTTGTATGTATTTTATTTTGCCTTATTGTAATAGCTTGGCCTTGGCCTCATGTTAGCCACCCCGAATCCCTTCGGGGAGATGGTGGCAGGGTACAAATAAAGTGTTGTTGTTATTATAATTATAATTATAATTATTATTGTGGGGAGGCCCTGTTCTCGGTTCCACCACCTTCGCAGGCGCAACTGGTGAGGATGAGAGACAGGGCCTTCTCAGTGGAGGCCCCTCGGCTATGGAACTCCCTCCCTAGTGGGATTAGATTGGCCCCTTCCCTCCTGTCATTTCAGAAACAAGTGAAAACATAGCTTTGGAAGCAAGCATTTGGCCCAGCATAATTATCTGTGCAATACAATTGGAATTGGCTTTGGATTTATAAATACTATTATCTGGCTTTGGATCTATGCACAGTAGTCTAATGTTTACATATGTTGTTTTAATGCTGCTTTAAATTGTTTTTTAATTGTTTTTAATTGTTGTTCTTCGGGCATGGAATAATGCCACTCATGTAAGCTGCCCTGAGTCCCCTTTGGGGTGAGAAGGGCGGGATATAAATGCCGCCAATAAATAAATAAATAAATAAATGTTGATTTTTATGTGTAAAGTAAAATATTTGGCAAGTGATTGATTACACTATGTAACCAAATTTGGAAAATGTTCTGTTCCTGGTTTGAAAGTGTTATTTCCTGTTTAATTGTGCAGACCTTACTTTGAAAGTGGTTGTTCTACTCCAGGAACCTTTTTTTTTGTGGCTGCCACAAACTATGTTGAATTGGTTGAGACTTGATGACAATTGAAAAACTAGAGCAAAATGTGTTGCTCCCCAGAAATATCTTCAGAAGGAGCCTGAAAACTTGGCTGTTCCAACATGCCTTCAGTGATTGAATGTATGATAACCCCTGACCAAACATGCCCTCAGAAGCACTTTATTTTCTGGTTTGTGCAATAAAATCCTACCTTATCCCCCGGATCCCCTTTCTCATATTTTACACTGCCCTATTTCCCAGTGTTTTAAAATTTTAATCTTTGAATTTGGCCCTGCCCACTGTGATCATTTTTAGTGTTTTAATGTTTTGATTTTAAATTGTTGTGCTGCTTATTTACATTGGTTTTTTATTTTATGTTATTTTCTCATTTTTGTGTTATATTGTGTTTACTGTATTGATGGGCGTGGCCTCATGTAAGCCACCCCGAATCCCCATGGGGAGATGGTGGCGGGATATAAATAAAGTTTTATTATTATTATTATTATTATTATTATTATTATTATTATTATTATTGCAGGATGTCCCACAAAAACAAAGTTTTTGAAGTTTAATAAACCTTTTCTATGATTTTATGATAGAACCCATTAGGAGATGGCATTTGTAACCCAGGGACAAAATTTGGGTTATAATAATAATCATCATCATCATCTTTATTTATACCCCGCCACCATCTCCCCAATGGGGACTCGGAGCGGCTTACATGGGGCCAAGCCCAGAACAACATGTTACAGCAAAATAAGATCAAAACAGAAACAACAAGCAACATATTCAAAATTACGTAAAAGGGGAAAAAAAGTATAAACACAGTAACAAAATAACATTGTATAGGTTACATGGTATTATCTCAAGCACTGAATTGAGTTTAGCACAGGCATGGGCAAACTTTGGCCCTCTAGAAGTTTTGGGCATCAACTTTCACCATTCCTAACAGTCTACTGGCTGTTTGGAATTATGGGAGTTGAAGTCCAAAACGCCTGGAGGAAGGGCCAAAGTTTGCCCATGCCTTGTTTAGCACAATAGAAAGTACTTCTTTGAATATTGTTCCAAAGTCTCATCTCGTGTTATCTTCTGCCTCTCTCCCCCCATCTGCTCAGCTGGATGATGAAGAATGGGCAGACTGGGAGTAGCAGCCGGGGCCCTCACTTCCTGCGCAGCAGCAGCAGCAGCAGCGCATCCTGGCCCCTTCTCCGGCGCCCCACACACCCCTCCGCACCATCCAATGTGAATTAAATCACAGAGCAACCGGCTTCTTGCCCCTTGTGTCCGTGTGTGTTCTGGCCTGGCTGCATCTCATCTCTGCTCACGTCCCGTTGGGAACCTTGGACCACGAGGATGACGGTGGGATCCTTGCCGTGGACGCCAATATCTCACTTGGGAAGGGGAAGGGGCCTAGCCTTAGCAGCATCTTCCCTTAGGACAATGCCCTTTCCCACTCAGACTAATAACTCTTTCAGAACTGCTGCTCCTGGGTGGATTTCTCTTTTTTTCTCTTTGTTCCCTTTCCAACCCTTCTTTTTTGTTTTGTTTTGTTTTGTTTTAAACCTTGAGGTGGATGTCAGTTGGTGGATTGAAGTGTGGAAGGATTTGACTGGACTTTGCAGGATAGTTAGGCTTCCTTTGCTGGCCACTCTGAATCGGCAGCTTTGCTTGCTGTGTGGCCATTTCGTGAAACATAGCAAGCTTCTAGTGAGTCCTAGAGCCAGGTCTTCTCTGCCTCCCACTAGGAACATTGGTCTTGAGGAGCTCTAGTGTGGACCCTGGCAGCCTTCCTGGTCTCGTTCCTTCAAAGGGGGCTTCTGTACCACCTAAACAGAACCCACAGTCTCACAGGTATTTGAGCAGCCCACCTTCCCATCCCGTCTTACGCTGCCTCCTTTCTCTGCTCTCCAGGGACCTGAAGCACTTTTCAAAAAAATAATAAAAGTTCTTGTGCTGAATCCTTTCTTGAGCATGCAACCTCATGGGAGGAGCACTTCCCACGCAAGCTCAGCAAAGAGGCTGTTGCGCACGAGGTGCTCTTGCTGTGTTCTTTGACGGAGGCCCTTTTCCAAAGTTTCCCTATAAGTAGCCCCACTCCTGAGACAGCTGCTAGTCTTGGCCCGCCTAGAAGGATCAGCGTTTGCCAAAGCCTTGTGCCCCCATGCGCTACCCTTGTCGAACATCTCACTCAAACTGCCTCCAAATGTGTTGCCTTGCCCATAGCCTGTTCAAGTTTCCTTCCTAGGTCAAAGAGTCAGAAATTGCTTTAGGAGCTCTGACCTAAGAACCGATTCACTTCAATATTGCCTTTCTAAAAAGGTTCCAAACTGTTGGCCAATCTCTTTGAGACACAATTCATCTTAGGATGTTGAAGGCTTTCATGGCTGGAATCATTTCTCCTGACGTTTCGCCTGCATCTATGGCAAGCATCCTCAGAGGTGAGGATGCTTGCCATAGATGCAGGCAAAACGTCAGAAGAAATGCCTCTAGAACATGGCCATATAGCCCGAAAAAAACCCACAAGAACTGAGACATCTTAGGATGCATGATGTGCCCTGTGGAAATGAATAGGAGCTAGTTTCAATCCACGAGCCCCCAGTGGTGCAATGGGTTAAACCAGGGGTCCTCAAACTAAGGCCCTGGGGGTCAGATATGGCCCTCCAAGGTAATTTACCCGGCCCTCGCTCAGGGTCAACCTAAGTCTGAAACGACTTGAAAGCACACCACAACAATCCTATCTCATCAGCCAAAAGCAGGCCCACACTTTCCATTGAAATACTAATAAGTTTATATTTGTTAAAATTGTTCTTCATTTTAATTATTGCATTGCTTTTAAGTGGATTTTTTTTGCACTACAAATAAGATATGTGCAGTGTGCATAGGGATTCATTCATGTTTTTTTTTCTTCAAATTATTATCCGGCCTTCCAACAGTTTGAGGGATTGTGACCTGGCCCTCTGTTTAAAAAGTTTGAGGACTCCTGGGTTAAACCCTTGTGCCAGCAGGATTGCGGTTCGAATCTGGGGAGAGCAGGTTGAGCTCCCTCTGTTACCTCCAGCTCCCCATGAGGGAACATAAGAGAAGCCTCCCACAAGGATTAGTATTTACCCAATTCGGATCACCAGATGTCATGGTGTTAACTGATGTATGTATTTATATACGGCATCTAATTATTGCCAATTTGTACACCGCCCTGAGTCGCCTTCGGGCTGAAATGGGCGGGATAAAAGTGACGTAGATAAATAAATAAATATATGACATGCAGATTGGCGATAATGGAGATTGCAACCCAACAGCCCTTGTGGATCTGAGGTTGGGGACCTAGGTGAAAAGAACTTTTAAAGTCAGATATCATACCAACGAGCCTTGTATCTTATTTCGGACCCCACTCTCCTTACTAAACAGAACAAATGGTAGCCTTGCAGGCGTTACTGTATTGCAACTCCCATCAGCCCTAGTCATGAAGTCCCCAGTGATGCAGTGGGTTAAACCCTTGTGCCAGCAGGACTGCTGACCAACAGGTCAGTGGTTCAAATCTGGGGAGAGAGGGATAAGCTCCCTCTGTCAGCTCCAGCTCCCCATGCGGGGACATCAGAGAAGCCTCCCACAAGGATGGCAAGACATCAAAACACCCGGGTGTCCCCATAGCAACATTCTTGCAGACGGCCAATTCTCTCACTCCAGAAGCGACTTGCAGTTTCTCAAGTTGCTCCTGACACGAAAAAAAAAAGTTTCAATCCATGGAAGTGCACCGTCCGCTTGCAAAAAGTATGCTTGGATCCTCCCTAGTGACGCAAGAGCCTTGTCTTTAGTGACTTGGGACAGGTCCATACCGTAAAATGTTGAGCCTCTGTGAGATTAGATTAGTCTTGAGTCGCCTATGGGCTGAGAAAGGCGGTTTACAAATACAGTAAATAAATAAATAAGACGAATCTAATGACAGGAGCAAGCATTGGTTCTTCCAAGAGCTGCAACTATCCCCTGCAGTCAGGTCCCTTCCACTCTTCTCGGTGTTTTCGCTTATTTGCTCAACTGTTCCTGGCTTCTTGGACACCAGAGGAGAATTAATGCATTGTGACTACCATTTTAATTCTCCAATGCAAGAAGTAGGCAGAGGAGACGAGACAAAGGAGCAGAAACACTATCAGTGGTTCTCAACCTGTGGCTCCCCAGGTGTTTTGGCGTACAACTCCCAGAAGTCCCAGCCAGTTTACCAGTTGGTAGGATTTCTGGGAGTTGAAGGCCAAAACGTCTGGGGACCCCCAGGTTGAGAACCACTGCACTAAATAGTGACTGGTGTAAGGCTGTCAATGGACAACTTTAGTCGATTTCAAGAGTCTACAGCAGGCATGGGCAAGCTTGGGTCCTCCTGGAGTTTTGGACTTCAACTCCCACAATTCCTAACAGCCTCAGGCCCCTTCCTTTTCCCCCTCAGCCGCTTAAACATTTGGAGGGCCAAGCTTACCCATGCCTGGTCTACAGACACTACAGTCACCTGGAGACAATTAACTATGTGATTATAAGCGATTTCTTACATTCCTGTGATTTAGAAAACCAGCCAGAGTCAAGGGAGAAAGACCAGAAATGTGTGTCAGGTTCTTGCAGTTTGCAGCTTGAGTTGAAACGCCTGGGAAGGTTCCTGCCTCTGCAAGTACTGGCTCCGCCACATTCTTGCAGGAGCGGATCTTTGGCCGTGTCTTAAGTGCCCACAAGACTTCCTTCTCAGCCAAAGGGACCACAAAGCAAGCTGCATTCCAGGCATTTCCTCTCCACTACTTAAAAACCGGATCCTAGAGGATTCAAAACTGATGTGGGGCAGACTAATGCGTCCAAGGTCTCAAAACCTTGCCTTGGAGGCAGCAGTACCCGCCTTGAAGACCCCACAGGGAAGGGCATGTGCGGATGGCAGGGGCCAAGATGAGGCTGGACTTGGAGGCCCGCAACCATGTTTCTTCTCAAGCTAGTGAGACAAGAAAGGAGCACCCGGGGGGGGGGGGGGGGGGGGGGGGGGGGGTGTCCTCTGGCTTCATCGTAATTCCTCATTTTCCTCTTCTCTTGGTTGTGCAATATTCTCTCATTTTTAAATTATACCGCATTTCCCTGGACTGTTTTCGAAGCTGGGGGCAAACAAGTGACTCTAACAAGCTGTTAGTTTTGTAATGACGACTTTCTCCTCGAACCTTTTACAGACTTGCCGTTAACAGCAATTAAAAGAGTTCTACAGAAATGGCCTGCCGGTCTCCGTCTCTTTCTCCTCTCTTTGTCCTGCAAATGCATTGAGTGGCCCGGGTTTGTTCTTGGCCACATGCTTTCAGGGGTGACCTCAGTATGTTGAGATGGAGAAAGAGAGTGACTCCTGATCAATTATAATAGTAGTAGTAGTAAAATATCCAAAGGGTAAGAAAGATTTTGAAGAGCAAATTAAATGGCGGAAATATGATCAAGGGTATCAACACCTGGGCCATCCCGATCATCCAATTCTGGGCACCACAATTCAAGAGAGATATTGACAAGCTGGAATGTGTCCAGAGGAGGGCCACTAAAATGATCAAGGGTCTGGAGAACAAGCCCTATGAGGAGTGGCTTAAGGAGCTGGGCATGTTTAGCCTGAAGAAGAGAAGGCTGAGAGGAGATATGATAGCCATGTATAAATATGTGAGAGGAAGTCACAGGGAGGAGGGAGCAAGCTTGTTTTCTGCTTCCTTGGAGACTAGGACACGGAACAATGGCTTCAAACTACAAGAGAGGAGATTCCATCTGAACATGAGGAAGAACTTCCTGAATGTGAAAGCCGTTCAGCAGTGGAACTCTCTGCCCCGGAGTGTGGTGGAGGCTCCTTCTTTGGAAGCTTTTAAACAGAGGCTGGATGGCCATCTGTCAGGGGTGATTTGAATGCAATATTCCTGCTTCTTGGCAGGGGGTTGGACTGGATCGCCCATGAGGTCTCTTCCAACTCTTTGATTCTATGATTCTATGATACACTGCTGGAATTGTGAACTGGACGCAAGCAGAGCTGGATGATCTGGACAGAAAAACAAGAAAACTGATGACAATCCACTACTCATTACACCTGTGTAGTGATGTCGACAGACTTTACCTGCCCAGAAAATCAGTAAACAGAGAGCTTCTGCAAGTGAAACAAATGGTAGAAGAAGAGAAACATGCACTGGCAGATTATGTGAAAGGCAGTCAAGAACCAGCATTGAGGAAGTTAATAGTAGTAACTGCTTCAAGTGCAAAAGACAAAGAGGGAATCCCATAAAAATACAATGCAGAACAGAAGGGAAAACTGGCAAAAGAAGGGTCTCTGTGGACAGTTCCTGGGAAAAACAGAGCCAAATTGACAAAGAAAAAACATGGCTGTGGCTCACAAATAGAACTTTAAAAAAGGAAATGGAGAGCCTGATTTTGGCAACCCAAGAACAAGCCATTAGAACCAATGCCATCAAAGCCAGAATTGAAAAGTCGACGACAGATCCCAAGTGTAGACTCTGCAAGGAAGCAGATGAAACAATAGATCACATCCTCAGCTGCTGCAAGAAGATCACGCAGACAGACAACAAGCAGAGGCAGAACACCCTTGCTCAGATTATTAATTGGAACTTGTGCCACAAATACCGTCTGCCTGCGACAAAGAACTGATAGGATCACAAGCCTGAAAAAGTTACAGAAAATGAACAAGTCAAGCTACTCAGAGACTTCCAAATTCAGACTGACTGTTTTGGAGCACAATACCCCTGACTTCACGATTGTGTTAAAAAACCAAGTATAGATCATTGATGTTGCAATCCCAGGCGACAGCAGGATTGCAGAGAAACAATTGGACAAGCTGACACGATATGAGGATTTAAAGATTGAACTGCAAAGACTCTGGCACAAGCCAGTCAAGGTGGTCACAGTGGTGATCGGCACACTAGGTACAGTGCCTAATGACCTTGGCCTGCACTTAAACACAATTGGCGCTGACAAAATTACCATCTGCCAGCTACAAAAGGCCACCGTACTGGGATCTACATGCATTATTCGCTGATACATCACACAGTCCTAGACACTTGGGAAACGTCCGATGTGTCATGTAATACAACAGCCAGCAGAGTGATCTTGTTTGCTGTGGACTCATCTTGTGTTTCAAATAATAATAATAATAATAATAATAATAATAATAATAATAATCTTTATTTATATTCCGCCCTATCTCCCCAGAGAGACTCAGGGTGGATTTCAAACATAAAAGGCAAACATTCAATGCCCGAACACAACAGCATTACACCCATAATAATGAAAATTGACAACCCAAGATATAAAAGCAAATTATGCCTTAACAACTAAAATTAAATTAAAAATGCAACCGGTTATATCAGACATAAGACAAAACATCAAACAGAAGCATCTATTTTCCAGTTCCTTGGGAGCAAATAGATTGATCAATGCTCAAGATGTGGGGCGAGCAGGGCATGGATACGGATGGTAGCTATTACCCTCTAGTCCTTCTCGTAAGCCAATGAGCAGAGGTACGTCTTCAGCTGTTTCTTGAAGGTGGAGAGGGAGGGGCCATCTTTAACTCCTTAGGAAGGGAGTTCCAGGGGTGGGGGCAGCCACAGATAAGGCCCTTTCTCTCATTCCCACCAGTTGTGCTTGGGACAGGGGTGGGACCGAGAGCAGGGCCTCCTCCCTTCTCTCTACTGTATATGATATATACACTATCACACTTGATGGCCACATTATCGCTTTTTTCTCTTCCCTCTCATGTAGATGAGCTGTGCAGCCTAGGAAATTGCCATGTCAAGGGCAAAGTGAATCATAGAGTTGGAAGAGACCTCATGGGCCATCCAGTCCAATCCCCTGCCAAGAAGCAGGAAAACCGCTTTCAAAGCACCCCCAACAAATGGCCATCCAGCCTCTGCTTAAAAGCCTCCAAAGGAGGAGCCTCCACCACACTCGGGGGCAGAGAGTTCCACTGCTGAACAGCTCTCATGGTTAGGAAGTTCTTCCTCATGTTTAGGTGGAATCTCCTTTCCAGGCATCCCACATTTTGTATCTTTGCATTTCATTTTTTTCTGCCTAAGTGGCAGAAAAATTATAGCCCTGGCAGCCACAAGGCAAGCAGGAGTTAAGGGTCAGCCAAGGATAAGAGGGACAAGTAGGTGGAAGAAATGTGCCTTCCCTTTGCTCAACTACTGCTTTCCTTGTGCCTTCCTGGGCTATAGGAGTTAATTCCATTCATCACATGGGAATCCTCAGTGCCAGAAGGCAGTCAATAGAAGGAGAGGCCATTGGTAGTGGGAAAGGCTATACTTTGCATGCTTGAGCTTCCAGCCTGTATATGGGACAATGGCATTGAAAATGTTCCCATGCAGCAGGATTTGGAAAGACCTCCCCTGAGAATCTGGGGTGAGTAATTTTCCCAGGAGCCGGCACAGATGGATTATGGGAACTATAGTTGAAAAACTTCTGGAGAGCCACTGCTGGCTCATTCCTGACCTGTTTGTCTTTGGACTTAGTCAGACAGGCAACTCTATTGGTCATATTTAGGAAGTTGAGGAGAGCAAGATCTCCAAAGCAGGACCTATTTCAAAAATCTTAAAGTAGTGTTTCCCAACCTGAGGGTCAGGACCAATGGGGGGGGGGGGGGGGGGGAGTCAGAGGGGTTGCCAAGACCACCAGCAAACACAGTATTTTTCTGTTGGTCTTGGGGATTCTGTGTGGGAAGTTTGGTCCAATTTTATCCTTGGTGGGGTTCAGAATGCTATTTGACTGTAGGTGAACTATAAATCCCAGCAACTACAACTCCTAAATGTCAAGGTCTATTTCCCCCAAACTCCACAAGTGTTCACATTTGGGCATATTGAGGATTTGTGCCAAGTTTGGTCCAGATCCATCATTGTTCAAGTCCACAGTGCTCTCTGGATGTAGGTGAACTACAACTCCAGAACTCAAGGTCAATGCCCACCAAACCCTTCCAGTATTTTCTGTTGGTGGAGTTCAGAATGCTCTTTGATTGTAGGTGAACTATAAATCCCTGCGACTACAAGTCCCAAATAACAAAATCAATCCCCCACAACCCCACCAGTATTCAAATTTGGGCATATCGGGAATTTGTGCCAAATTTGGTCCAGAGAATGAAACTACATCCTGCATATCCGATATTTACATTATGATTCATAGCAAAATTAGTTATGAAGTAGCAGTGGAAATAATATTATGGTTGGAGGTCACCACAACTTGAGAAACAGTGTTAAGGGGTTGCAGCATTAGGAAGGTTGAGAAGGCATGGACAGTCTGCTTAGAAGGCCCTTGAACACTACAAAGGGAAGGGACAGAAGGCACATTTGGCATGGAGAGCCAAGGCTTATATTTCAAAAATACTTAGCTTCCTGGGTGCCGGATCCGCCATAAACAAGTCATTGAACTCCCCACTGTATGTACACAATGCTGTGAACTGACTCTTCCCACAAGCGCTCCGCGGGATAAGGATAGATGAGAAACTGAGCATCCCGTTAAAATATATGTGAGCATTTTGGAAACAGACTGTCCCCTTTTATTGGGGGGGAGAGTGTGTGTGTTTGGGGTGGGGGTGACGTGGCCCTCGGCCCTCAGGAGCTGGCCAGCCACGGGTGCCAGCTGACCTCTTCGATGGAGGGCCGGAGGACCATGTCCGGCTCCAGCAGGTTCTTGAGGAGGTCCTGGCACTCCTCGGAGATCCCCAAGTGTCCCGGGACAGAGACCCCCTTCTGCTGGTGGCAGAGCATCTTGGGGATGTCAGTGTCATCAAAGGGCAAGTGGGCACAGAGCATGACATAAAGCACCACCCCCATGCTCCAGATGTCCCCCTTGCGACTGTCGTGGGGCACCCCCTGCAGCACCTCGGGGGCCGCGTAGGCTGTGCTCCCACAGAAGGTTTGGCTCAGCTCCTTCCGGTTCTTGGGCAACAGCTTGGCAAAGCCAAAGTCAGTCAGCTTCAGGTCGAAGCCCTGCAAGAGGGCGTTCTCACACTTCAGGTCCCGGTGCGCAACCCCACAGCTGTGGCAGTAGCGGATGGCATCCACCAGCTGCAGGAATAGGGCCTTAGCCCGGCCCTCTGGCAACGGGCCCCCTTGCAGCACACAGTCAAACACGTCCCCATCCTCTGCCAGCTCCATCACCAGGTAGATCTTCCCATCTGTCGACTCCAGCATCTCATACACCCGGATGATGTTCTTGTGGTCCAAGCGCTTGACAATCTGGAGCTCTCTGGGCAGGAAGCGCTCAATAAACTCTGCAGGGGCAGCAGGAAGTAAAGGAGAAAGACAAGATTAGCTTATTTCGGGGGCATCTGAGGCTCTCATGCCTGAACCAAGCCCTGCCCTTAATAGCCTATTTACTCAAATCAAATGCCCACCTTTTGGGGTTAAATTACCTTGTCAAAATTAGGGTGCGCATTAGATTTGGGCAACAATAATAATAACAACAACAACTGGGTGCAGTGCCTAAAGATCTTGGCCTGCACTTAAACACAATCGGTGCCAACAGCTGCAAAAGGCCACCCTACTGGGATCTACACACATTATTCGTTGATACATCACACAATCCTAGACACATGGGAAGTATCTGACATGTGATCCAATACAACAGCCAGCAGAGTGATCTTGTTTGCTGTGTACTAATCTTGTTGTGTTTCTAATAATAATAATAATAATAATAATAATAATAATTATTATTATTATTATTATTATTATTATTATTATGGAAATTGTGCCACAAATACCATCTGCCTGCGACAAAGAACTGGTGGGATCACAAGCCGGAAATAGTTACAGAGAATGAACACGTCAAGCTACTCTGGGACTTCCGGATTCAGACAGACAGAGTTTTGGAGACCAAAACTCCTGACCTCACGATCGTGTTCACCATGCTTCACTTGGAGAAAATAGTGGGGTTGTGAGAACTATTGAAATGTTGAGGAAGGGGAAGGCTTGTTTTCTACTGCAATGAACACAATGGAGCAACGGATTCAAACGGCAGGAAAAGAGCTTTTCCCAAGTATTCGGAAACAATTTCTGGCAGTAAGACCTGATCAATAGTGGAATACATTGCCTGGGAGCATAATGGAGTCTTCTTCTATTGAGGTTTTTAAGCTGGATGGCCATCTGTTGAGAGGGCTTTGATTGTGCTTTTCCTACCTGGAAAGATGGTGTTGGACCTGATGGCCCTTGGGCTCTTTTCCAACTCTAGGATTCTAGACAGAAAGGCCTACCTGGTGCTGAAGATACCTGCTGAAACATTACCTGAATGTGCTATGAGACAGCATTGTCCCTGCAATGCCAGAAATACAGCTTAATGGTGTAACATTAGAAAAAGTTGACAATTTCCACTAACTTGGCAGCCACCTATCTACAAAAGTCAACACCGACACTGAAACACAACACCGCCTGAGCTCTGTGAGTGCAGCATTCTTCCAAATGAAGCAGAAAGTGTTTGAGGACTGTAGGGAGACCAAGGTGCTTGTTTATAAAAAGACTAGCTGTGCCCTGCCACGCATTGCTGTGGCCTATAGTAAGAATTTTTGAAGTAGAGGTAGATATCTGGACTGTTATGATATCTGGACTATTCCTTCCCCCCTTTTTCTTCCCTTCCCCTTTCTCTCCTTTCTTCCTTCTCTATCTCTTTTTTTCATTCCTTCTTTTGCTCTTTGGTTTCATCCTTCCTTCTTTCCTTCCTTCCCTCCTCCTTTCTTCTCTCCCTGTTTCCTTCCTTCTTTCACTTTTTATTTCTCCTTCCTTCCTTCTTTACCTCTTTCCTGCCTTTCCTCCCCTTTTTCTTTCCTTTCTACTTTGTATTCTTCCTTCCTTCGTTACCTCTTTCTTTCCTTCCTTCTCTCCCTTCCTTCCCTCTTTCCTTCCCTCCTTCCTTCTTTCCCTCCCTCCTTCTCTCTTTCCTTCCTTCCCCTTTCCCTCCTACTTTCCTTCCCTTTTTCCTTCCCGCCTTTCTTCTCTCCTTCCTTCCTGTCTGTTCTCCCGCAATACTATGGTAGAGTCCCTTCTAACTCTTTTCTATGAGTCTATTTAATATAGTAATATTTTGAATTTAAAGGTGTTTTGTGGGTTTTTTTCAGTGATGGTCACTCCTTGGATTGTGAGGAGTTTTGTTGCCAAATTTGGGGTCATTTGGCCCAATCGTTTTTTTTGTTTTTAAGGTACTCATTACGCACAGAGCATTTTTATATATATAGATTGTTCTCCCAACCCTGCTATACGCTTGCGAAATGTGGACTGTCTACAGACGTCACACTCAACTCCTGGAATGATTCCATCAGCGCTGCTTCCAAAAAATCCTGCAAATCTCTTGGGAAGACAGGCCGACAATTGTCAGCGAGCTGGAAGAAGCAAAGACCACCAGCATTGAAGTGATTCTCTCACACCATCAACTCCGTTGGACTGGCTACGTTGTCCAATACGCAATCACCCTCTCCCAAAGCAATTACTATACTCCCAACTCAAGAACGGGAAACGTAATGTTGGTGGAAAGAAAAAGAGATTTAAAGATGGTCTTAAAGCTAGCTTAAAAAACTGTGGCATAAACAGCCCTTGAGCGCTCTAACTGGAGGTCAGCTGTGACCAGCAGTGCTGCAGAATTCGAAGAGGCACGAATGGAGGGTAAAAGGGAGAAATGTGCCAAGAGGAAGGCACGTCAAGCCTACCCTAACCGGGACCACCTTCAACTTGGAAACTGATGTCCTCACTGTGGGAGAACATGCAGGTCAGGAATAGGGTTCCACAGCTACTTACAGACCCACCGCTAAGACGCTACACTTGGAGGACCATCATCCTTGGGCTACGAGTGATCACCTAAATAAGTAAGTAAGTTCATGCCTGCATTGTAGCCCATTTATTGGGGGTATCTAGAGCCCTGCTTGTGGACTCTTCCAAATTTATCACTGAAACAAACTCTGCAGTGGAAGAGTTTAACCTTAAAACCCAAAATCCCCTTTCCCAGGAAGACGACATGTAGCCGCACCGCACTTCCAGGGATGGCTGGTCGCATCGATTCCAATGTGTGTCATCCTTACCTTCCGGTCCTCCCCTTTTGTCTATAATTTTCACAGCCACCTTGCGTTGGTGCTTCTTCGAAAACGCTTCCTTGACCTTCGAATAGGTCCCTTCTCCAATGGTCTTGCCCACCTGGTAACCATGGGAGAGTAGGAACTCCTCCATCGTGCCTTTAACCTGCTCTGCGGTCATCCTCAGGGCATCCTGTCCTTGCCTCGCCTAGTCATCGCCGTCCGGTCGCCTCCCAGGCCAGGCTCTGCATTGGATGCAGCCCAGGACGCTAGAGCATTATTATTTTTCCTGCTCAGGCAGTGAGGCCTGTGATGGAGGGGGGCCCTGAGGTGGTGCCCCTGAAACCGGCAGACCCCATTGTGATGCGGGCATGTGTTGCCCATGGGCTGGGTGCTGCAGGGAGGACCTCTGCACCAATGGGAGGAGGAGGGGTCAAGTGGGGCTGCCCCCCAGAGCCCTGCGGTCAGGGTATGGGGCCAATGACCAGGAGGCCCTGTGAAGGAGACCTTCAAGTAACTTTAGGTAGGCCCCTTAGTCCGACATGCCGAGTTAAGTTAGTGTGTTTCGCTCTCCACCATGGAAGTCTGCTGGCTTGAAAGCTTTGGGCAGGGCTTGGGTTCGGCTACGTAAAGCACATCCTAAGAGTAAGTATTCCCTTCCATTCTCTTTTTCCTTTATATATAGAGTTCCTTGAGTTCTTAAAAACTGGGGAGGACTTCTGTGCCTTGAACAGTTGCTGTTGCCTTTCAAGTATCTTTCGAGAGAGAGACCCTAAGGCAGTGTTTTTCAATCTTCCTAATGCCGCGACTCCTTAATACAGTTCCTCATGTTGTGCTGACCCCCCAAGCATAACATTATTTTCGGTGCTACTTCATAACTATAATTTTGCTACTGTATTGAATCATAATGTAAATATCTGACATGCAGGATGTATTTTTATTCACTGGACCAAATTCGGCACACATACCCGATACACCCAAATTTGAATACTGCTGAGGTTGGGGAGGATTGATTTTGTCATTTGGGTGTTGTAGTTGCTGGGATTTATAGTTCACCTACAAAGAGCATTCTGAACTCCACCACTGATGGAATTGAACCAGACTTGGCACACAGAACTCTCACAACCAACAGAAAATACTGGAATGCTTTGGTGGGCATTGACCTTGAGTTTTGGAGTTGTAGTTCACCTACCTCCAGAGAGCGCTGCGGACTCAAACAATGATGGATCTGGACCAAACTTGGCACAGATGCTCAATGTGCCCCAGTGTGAACACTGGTGGAGTTTGGAGAAAATAGACCTTGACATTTGGGAGTTGTAGTTGCTGGGATTTATAGTTAACCTACAATCAAAGAGCGCTCTGATCTCCACCAATGATGGAATTGAACCAGACTTGGCACACTCCCAGGACCAACAGAAAATACTGGAAGGGTTTGGTGGACATTGACCTTGAGTTTTGGAGTTGTAGTTCACCTGCCTCCAGAGAGCGCTGCGGACTCAAACAATGATGGATCTGGACCAAACTTGGCACAAATCCTCAATATGCCCAAATGTGAACACTGGTGGAGTTGGGGAAAATAGACCTTGACATTTGGGAGTTGTAGTTGCTGGGATTTATAGTTCGCCTACAATCAAAGGGCAGTCTGAATCCCACAAATTATACAATTGGGCCAAACTTCCCACACCGAACCCCACATGACCAACAGAAAATACTGTGTTTTCTGCTGCTCTTATGTGTCCCCTCTGACACCCCCTTGTGACCCCCCCCCAGGGATCCCGACCCCCCAGGTTGAGAAATGCTGCCCTAAGGCAAACCTATCATGGGATGTTTATTTATTATTTATTTACCGCATTTATATTCCGCCCTTCTCACCCCATCTCAAGGCGCATCACAGAACACATACACGGCAAACATTTAATGCCGTTAAACAGACAGGACAGACAACAGATAGAGATAGTATGCTGGCATTTTTCCCAGCTTCAGCATCTGGAGGTTGTCCTCAATTCCGGCCACAGGGGGTGCTGTCACGCTACCCTCTAAGACGAAGAGCCCTTGATCACAGGTTTGTATTTCCTTTTTATGGTGCTGTAAAATACCTCTCCACTTAAGTGGTGTCTAATTTCTCTACTCAGAGCTCACAGCTTTTTTCAAACTGCTTAGGTGGACAGTGAGCTGAACTAAAGGTCGGGTGCTCACCCCGACCCAGGCTTCGAACTGCCAATCTTTCGATTGGTAAGATTTATTGCTGCTGGTGATTAACCAGCTGTGTTACAGCCTGGCCAGTAGGCTGTAAGGAATTGTGGATTTCCAGAATACCTGTAGGGGCGAAGTTTGACCATGCCTGGACTAGCCCAAGTAGGTTCCTATAGCTGATTCAAACTATAGGAACTGTAGGGGATTCGAACTCTGGTCCCTGGAGTTCAAACACTCAAATCACTGCTCCATTTGATGGTTTTATGGGAATTTCAGCAAATGTTGCTTGCCGCACAACCAAGTCCCAGCCACACTACCAAGAATCTTTCTTACATACCCTTCAAGGTAGAGGAGCCTTTTCCAGTTGTAATCCTGGCAACCTTAGGAGCCGTCCCTGTTATTCAGGGATGGGTTGTTGCATAGCTTCCAGTGTGTGTAACTCATGTGGTTCAATGCACATCGCATTCCCGGGCATGATATAGGACAATTTGGGACTCTTCAAGAGGCCACAACAGGTGACCCACTTTTGCCTTGACTTTTACTCGTGTTGTATTTTGAAATGGTTATATGACTGGTCAAATTAATAATAATAATAATAATAATAATAATAATAATAATAATAATAATAATTAGGACCCACTCAATTGGCAAAGTCTTGCCCTTCCCAGTTGGCTTAAGCAAAAGCAGACTGCATCAACCCCTAGCTTGTGTGTTCTTCCTCATTAATGCCTTTGACGGAGCCCCCGGTGGCGCAATGGGTTGAACCCTTGTGCGGACTGAACTGCTGACCAAAAGATCAGCAGTTTGAATCTGTCGAGCAGGGTGAGCTCCCATGTGTCAGCTCCAGCTTCTGCAGGAATATGAGAGAAGCCTCCCACAGGATAGTAAAACATCCAGGCATCTTCTAGGCAACGTCCTTGCAGATGGCCAATTCTCTCACACTAGAAGCGACTTGCAGTTTCTCAGACTGTTCCTGGCACGAAAAAAGATGCCTTTGCACACACTTTGATATTACAAAAACACTTACGTTACGCCCCTGTGTTCATGGGGGAAATGTCAGAGGGTGTCTTATGCCTGATGCCAACACTGGAATGGCGGTGGATGCATTAACTAATTTGCTTCAGAAAGCTATTCCTTCTTGCTAGCCAAATATTAATCCGGGGGCCAGAATTGGTTTATGATTCACCCTCTATTGCTTTCCATCCATCGTCCTCCCAATACACCAAATTGGGATACTGCCTTGGTGATCCTATAGTAATAAAGGTTTTGCCTTGGAAAGCTGTTCCTTGGAAAGCTAATCTCAGGTTAGGAAAGCTAATTTTTCGTGTTCACCAAATGAGAATCTGGGGGGCCACATATGCCAGTCTTGTGGGCTTATGACTCATCCCTTATGAGCCCCTCCTTTCGTTGTCGGACCATCTACTTCCAATGCACCAAACAAAACTACTGTATATACTCAAGTATAAGCCTAGTTTTTCAATTAATTTTTAGGCTGAAAAAGCTCCCCTCGGCTTATACTCGAGTCAAGGTTATTTATTATTTTACTCTGTTATTAGTATTATTTTTATTTCATGTATTATTTTACTCTCTTTACTATTATTACATTTACACTATTTATGATTATTATTTGTTCTGTCACGCGCTGGGCCTGTAATAATTGACTTCTGAAATAGGACGTGCACCTTGTGCCCAGCGGGAAGCCAAGGGCGCCTCGAAAGAGGCCTTTAAGGATTTTCCTGTAGAGATAGTCTTTAGAGTCTTTAATGATGTAACAAAGTCCTTTATTATTGAACAAATCCAACAGATATTTCTCAAATCTTCAATGGGTCAAACAAATGCTTCAAGGCTTTGAATTAACTGGTGGCTTCCTTAATCTTGTCCACGAGGGACAGGCAACTGTCTTCATTAACTGTTCCTTTACTTTAGAGGAAAACCCATTTTTAACCTCTTCCAGGCTGACTATAATCTAATCCTTACTGATGTGGGTCCTACTACCGGATTCAAACTGTGTCTTGAGCACCGAATAGACCTACCAGTAAAGGCTTGCAGATTCTCCAGCTGGAGTTCTCTGGGTCTGTAAAGCTGTTTTCCCTCTGGAATTTCTTAGAGACTTTAGGGCTGTTTCCCTCAGATGCTGTAAGGCTGAGAGGCTGTGAGCTCTCTACCAGAGCTTTGGGACTGTTTTCCCCTGGAATGTCCCTGGAATGTCCCTGGAATTTCCTGGACTTCAGTTTCCCTGGATGGTCTTAAGAAATGAAGCTTTTCTGCAGATAAAGCTTGTCCACGTCCTCAAACTTAGCTTTCCCCACTAAGACTAACTAAAAAATGGCTCCCTCTTCCCTTCCCATCTCCCTGGGAGAAGGGGCGGATCCAAACTTAACAATGATAGACAAGTGGCTTGCCCTATGACTGCAAACCAAGGAAGCCATCTTTTTGCAGAATCCCTGCATGCAAACATTTAATAGAAAGAAAATAAAGTTGGAGCTCCTGGTGCAGACGTACCAGCACATTATTACAGTTATTATTTTACTTTATTATTATTGCATTTATTATTTTACTCTATTATTACATTTATTATTCTACTCTATTATTACTGTTATTATTGCATTTCCATTGTTTTACTTTATTATTATTATTATTATTTTACTCTATTATTGTTGGAAGGGTACGTAAGTACATTTACACTGAAGATATGTAATGATTAAATCAGAGTTGGGGAGTCTTATCTCAAATTACAGTTTTATGTAAATATTAAAAAAAACATTTCACCTCCTGATGCCTCAATTAATGTAATTTTATTGGTATCTATTTTTATTTTGAAATTTACCTGTAGTGGCTCCATTTCCCACCCTCGGCTTATACTCAAGTCAATATGTTTTCCCAGTTTTTTGTGGTAAAATTAGGTGCCTCGGCTTATATTCAGGTTGGCTTATACTCGAGTATATACGGTATTTAGTTTCATGAGTGTATCAAGATCAGAGTTTTATTCCTTGTTTGGACACAGCTTTTTTGTTTTGTGTGTGTCAGGAGTGACTTGAGAAACTGCAAGTCGCTTCTGGTGTGAGAGAATTGGCCGTCTGCAAGGATGTTGCCCAAGGGACGCCCGGATGTTCTGATGTTTTATCAATCTTGTGGGAGGCTTCTCTCATGTCCTCGCATAGAGAGCTGGAGCTGACAGAGGGAGCTCATCCATGCTCTCCCTGGATTCTAACCTCCGACCTGTCAGTCTTCAGTCCTGCCAGCACAAGGGTTTAAACCACTGCGCCACTGGGGGACACAATTGATAAACCCCAAACCACCCATGTGCAAATTTCTCATAAACATTAGCAGAAGTATCAGTCGACGGAGCCCATATAAATATTATTATTATTATTATTATTATTATTATTATTATTATTATTAACTTTATTTGTACCCCGCTGACATCTCCCGAAGGACTCGATGCGGCTTACAAAGGCCAAGGCCTCAATAAACAACAACATAGCAAATACGCATAACCTATAAAGCAAATCAAAAACATTAAAGCAATAACAGTAAACAATAAAACAATACACAATAACACAATAAAACTACTGCTCTCATTCAACCTGTTTAATTTTGGGACTTTGCAATTGCATAATTTCGTAATTATGACAACTCAAGCACCAAGTGTGATGGCGGAGATGTCCTAAAAGGAAGCAGAGGTGGCAATGGGGTCTGTTGAGGAAAGCCCAGTCGTAGCTGGTTGAGCCAAACAGGATGGAACTTATTTATTTATTTTATTTTATTATTTCGAGCTTTTATAACCCGGTCTTCTCGACCTCCGAAGAGGGACTCAGGCCGGCTAACAGCAGAAAATTCATACACACATAGAATAAACATAATAGCATCATAATATATTCATACAAAAATACATTAAAATACAGATCATACAATTACAAAAGCCAGGTCGTCAGAGTAAAATCACAAATTCATCACCATCCGCAAGTGTGGTCAGCCGTTATTGACTCAATCATCATTCTGCAAATGCTATATTCCAAAGCCAAGATTTCACCAGCTTTCTGAAAGTCAGGAGGGAAGGGGCAGATCTAATCTCCAACGGGAGAGAGTTCCAGAGCCGAGGGGCCAACACCGAGAAGGCCCTGTCCCTCGTCCCCACCAGAAGGAGGTGGAACCGAGAGCAGGGCCCCTCCAGAAGATCTTAACAACCTTGATGGTTCATAGGGGAGAATCCGTTCAGACAGGTAAACTGGGCTGTGGTCGTTTAGGGATTTATAGGTCAACACCAGAACTTTGAATTGTGCTCGGAAGCTAATTGGCAGCCAGCGGAGCTGACGCAGCAGAGGAGTAGTATGCTCCCTGTACCCCGCTCCTGTTAGTAATCTGGCTGCCGCTCATTGGACTAGTTGAAGCTTCCGGGCAGTCTTCAGAGGCAACTCCATGTAGAAAGCGTAGTCTTCCCAGCCAAGAGAAGGACAGGGAGGCTTGTGATGCGAGCGCCATGCGCTGCCCGGGTCACAATGCCCCTGGGAGGTCACCTGCCTCTCTCTGGGCTCCATCCCAGCCTCTTGCCCTTTGCAAGACGGCACAGCAGGCTGGCTGGTTGACTTCAGGGAGCATTCCTCTGCCTTTGAGAGGTAAGGACAGGCAGACGGAGGGGGCGAGAGAAGGGAAAGGGGTTAGGGGGGAGTAGGGGAACCCTAAACCTCACAGCTGGGAGACCCATCAAGTCCAACTCTACTGGGAGATGCCCATTCAACCTCAATTGGAAGATCTCCCAAAAGAGAGAGCCCACAACCCTTTGGACTAGTTCCTCTTAGACAAGGTGTTCTTCCCAATATTTAGGAGGAATATTTTTTTTTCTTCTTAATTGGAAAAAAAAAACTTCTTCTACGATTGGTTGTGTGAGCATTTTTCTGTATCAGTGGGATAGTTTGGGCTAGCTTCAGCTGGACTCTCTAAGGTCGTACTTGTCAGATGGCATCCAGAACCTTTGAAGGGTACGTTGAAGCCAGAATATGCCCCAAAGGGGGTTGTTCATTGCCCCACTTACATGGGAGGCACCGATCTGGGAGTCAGCTGCATTAAGATCACCACTGACCAAAGATCACTACTGACCGAAAGGTCATGAGTTCGAAACCAGCCCAGGTCAGAGTGAGTTTCCGACCAATTCATGTAGCTTGCTGTCGACCTTTGCAGCCCAAAAGACAGATGCATCTGTCATGAGGGGCCATGAAGGCAGTTCCATCTTGCCTCCAGTGTCATCAGTTGGGAGCCCCCCCCCCCCACTCCAGCACCAACCGCTGCTCTGAGATCAGAGTGAAGAGAGGGGCCAGGAAGGCAGTTCCATCTTGTCTCCTGCACTGTGCTAATAATATAATATATTGTATACACATATAATCTATATAAATAAAAATGTAATGTTCGTTTGTGGGTTTAACAGAACTCAAAATCCACTGGACGAATTGACACCAAATTTGGACACAAGACACCTAACAACCCAATGTATGTCCTTCACTCAAAAAAATTTTTGTCATTTGGGAGTTGTAGTTGCTGGGATTTATAGTTCACCTACAATCAAAGAGTCTTCTGAACTCCACTAATGGTGGAATTGAACCAAACTTGGCACACAGAACTCCCATGACCAACAGAAAATACTGGAAGGGTTGGGTGGGCAGTGTCCTTTGGTTTTGGAGTTGTAGTTCACCTACATCCAGAGAGCACTGTGGACTCAAACAATGATGGATCTGGACTAAACTCTGCACAAACACTCAATATGCCCAAATGTAAACATTGGTGGAGTTTGGGGAAAATAGAATCTTGACATTTGGGAGTTGTAGATGTGGGGATTTATAGTTCGCATACAATCACAGAGCATTCTGAATCCCACCAACAATAGAATTGGGCCAAACCTCCCACACAGAACCCCCATGTGGGCCACAGCAACGCGTGGCAGGGGACGGCTAGTAATATAATATAATAATAAAATAATATTGATAATATTATAATGTAATACAATATACTACTAATAATAATATATTATAATTATATATTTTATATTAAATGTAATATTACTAATAATATTACAGTATAATGTTATAGTACAATGTAATATATAATATTAATATTGTGCTACGGTAATAATATAATATACTGTATTTACTTTTTACTTGTAAGCTGCTCTGAGTCCCCTTCGGGGTGAGAAGGCCGGCATACAAATGTCATAAATAAATAAATAAATAGGAAATTTCGGTACCACGTATGCGGGGAGGCTAATTTAACTAATTTATGACGCCACAAAAATCTCCAGCAAGCATGCAAACAATGAGGAAGTACTTCATCAATGTCACAAATTGATGGTGAAGCTACAGCTCCCCTGGTGGCCAGAATACCCTCATCAAAAGCTGGAATGTTAAATAGCCTCTGTGTGTCTGTCTATATATGTTGTGTGTCTATGGCATTGAATGTTTGCCATGTATATGTACATTGTAATCCACCCTGAGTCCCTTGCAGGGTGAGAAGGGCAGAATATAAATACTGTAAATGAATAAAATAAATCTCCACTCTTCTCTAGCCTTTTAGGACGTCAGATAGAAATCATCCCCAGGTGGTTTATAGAGTGATGATATACGGCAGCTATTGAGTTCCACAGATAGGATTTCAATGTTGTTCACTTCTGTGAGAGAGGTTGCAGAGATTGCTACACCAGATCGTACAAAAATGGCACTACCATATCGTCTGTGAGGTTGTTCCACTGCCAATTGCATTCCGATGTCTCTGTGTGTTTCCTGTATACATAAGATGTCACACGAAATGTCCTCAGACATTTTGGCCAATAGTTCTTCCTTAGCAAGTGACAAACCTTCTATATTAATAGACATTAATAGACATTAATTAACAGAAGTGGAGTGGGCAGATCAAAAGACAACCTGGCAAAACGGCACTACCTAAAACAGTGTTTCTCAACCTGGGGGTCAGGACCCCTGAGGGGGTCGCAAAGGGGTGTCAGAGGGGTCACCAAAGAACATCAGAAAACAGTATTTTCTGATGGTCATGGGGATTTCATGTGGGAAGTTTGAGCCAATTCTATTGTTGGTGGAGTTCAGAATATTCTTTGATTGTAGTGAACTATAAATCCCAGCAACTACAACACCCAAAAGTCAAAGTCTATTTTCCCCATACTCCACCAGTGTTCACATTGGCACATAGTGAGTATTTGTGCCAAGTTTGGTCCAGATCCACCATTGCGTGAGTCCACAGTGCTCTCTGGATAGAGGTGAACTACAACTCCCAAACTCAAGGTCAATGCCCACCAAACCCTTCCAGTATTTTCCGTTGGTCATGGGAGTTCTGTGTGGCAAATTAGGTTCAAATACATTGCTGGTGGAGTTCAGAATGCTCTTTGATTATAGGTGAACTATAACTCCCAGCAACTACAACTCCCAAATTACAAAATCAGTCCTCCCCCAACCCCACTAGGATTTACATGTGGGTGCATTGGGTATTTGTGCCCAGTTTGGTCCAGTGAATGAAAATACATCTTACATATCTGATATTTACATTATGATTTATAACAGTAGTAAAATGACTGTTATGAAGTAACAACAATAACAATGTTATGGTTGGGGGTCACCACAACATGAGGGACTGTATTAAGGGGTCATGGCATTAGGAAGGTTGAGAACCACTGACCTAAAAGAATCCCACACCTGTATGCTTGTCCACTATACCCTGCCTCATGTACAGAGGAAGAATTGTTGGAGGCTACAGACAGTGCTGTTGCTGTTGCCCGTTTTTGGTCAAAAGATATTTGGCCGCCTGCACTCCTTCTATTTTTATCAGTTTTATACTAATTTATGCAATGCTTTTGACACAACATAAATAAGGATGTCACATCCCCAAATCCCCAGCCGCCATGGCTTAGGTTGGCAGGGGATTGTTTTCGTATTAGAAACTGCCAGTCACTTCTGGTGTGAGCAAATTGGCCATATGCAAGGACGTTGCCCAAGGGACGCCTGGATGTTTTGATGTTTTTACCATCCTTGTGGGAAGTTTCATGTCCCCGCATGGGAAGCTAGAGCCACTGATCTGCCAGTCAGCAATCCTGCCAGCACAAGGGTTTAACCTACTGGCAGAGGATGATAGGAACTGGTCCAAAACACATAATTTCAAATAGTCCCTTACCAGCTTGAAATGATCTTATGAGGGGAAAGGAGATCCTCAAAGGGTACTGGGTACAGCTTCATTGTCTCCGAGTGGGGTCTGGCTGTCTCCCCATAGCTCTTCCTGAATGGTTCTCCTCTTCCTATGGGGCACTTTTTGGGATTGGAATAAGACCCCAACCTCCCTGACCCTTTTCTGCTTCCGCAGACAGATCTGGGGCTCTTGGTCATGAGCTCCCAAGAGACCCCACAAGGTCGGAGATTTCCCATAGAGGCAGGAGACTCTCCCAGCCTGGCGACGGCACCCGAAACACAGGAGCCAGTGGCACCTGAGCGCCCTGGAAGCAGGTGAGACAATCGATAGAGAGAGAGAGATGTAGACAAAGGGATAGATAAAGAGATAGAAAGAGAGAGGAACAGACAGAGAGATAGATAGACAAAGAGATAAATAAAGAGATGGATGGCTGGGTGGGTGGCTGGATGGATAGATGGTATCATTGAAGTGATAAGATGGGATGGATAGGGCAAGATGGATGGATGGTATCCTTGAAGTGACTGGCTTGACTCTGAAGGTGCTGGGGGTGGTGACGGTCGACAGGGAGCTCTGGCATGGGCTGGTGCATGAGGTCACGAAGAGTCGAAAGTAAGTGAACGAATAAACAACAAGATAGATAGATAGATAGATAGATAGATAGATAGATAGATAGATAGAGATGGAGATAGATACAGAAAGAGATGGGTGGATGGATGGAAAAGATAGATGGATAGACGGATAGATAGATAGATAGATAGATAGATAGATAGATAGATAGATAGATAGATAGATAACCTGCAGCATATCTTTGCTATGGCACCCCCTTTATGGCTGCCTTCCCCTCGGCAACCCCATTGGCACCAATATTTAACTTTAGGTGTCAAGTGAAAAGGATAACTTTATATTACAGCCTTTGAGGCTAATTCTTCATAATCCTTAAATTGTATGAGCATATCGATTTTGCATTTTCCCCTATTTTCAGCAGAATTTCTGGTATGGTAGAGTATGGCGTATAGTATGAGTTAGGCCTATTTTTAATAGTTATTCTCAAGAAACCAGAAACTACATTTATTCAGCATCTATCTGCTATGGATTTACTGAGAGGCTACTGTAGTAACAACAACAACAACGTATGTTATATTATGCAATATGGTATGAGTTAGACCTATATTCTCAAGGAATAAAAGCTACCTTTATTCTGCATCTGCCAATCCCCATCGATGTTATAGGTTCACTGAGAGGCTACTGTAGTAACAACAACAACAACAACAACAACAACAATGTATGGTATATTATGCAGTATGGAATGACTTAGGCCTATATTTATAGTTATTCTCAAGCTATAGAAACTACATTTATTCTGCATCTACCAATACCATCAGTGCCATGGGTTACTGAGAGGCTACTGTAGTAACAACAACAACAACAACAACAACGTATGATATATTATGCAGCATGTTATAAGCTAGGCCTATTTTAATAGTTACTCTCAATCAATCCCCATCAGTGCCATGGGTTCAGTGAGAGCCAAAGGTAAGGTAAGGTTTTCCCCTGATATTAAGTCCAGTCGTGTTCGAATCTGGGGGTTGGTGCTCATCTCCATTTATAAGCCGAAGAGCCGGCGTTGTCCGTAGACACCTCCAAGATCATGTGGCTGGCATGACTGCATGGAGTGCCTTTACTTCCTGCCAGAGTGGTACCTATTGATCTACCCACATTTGCATGTTTTTGAACTGCTAGGTTTGTTCCATCTCCCAGGAGCCTGATTTGCCTTACTTTATAGTTGCTTGAGGTTGCTTCCTCTTGCATTTTCTCCCAGGGTTGCTGCATCTTTGCAAGAGTCTTAAACGTTAATAGTATCAGAGTCTGCAGGCCTCTTTGCAACCATTGGCTTAGAGAGCAGCCTTTTGAGTTTAGGGACCGCCTTTTCTCCCAGGGAAAGATCTCCATTTTAGATTCTCCCCTGCCTTTTCAGTTTGAGGAAAGATTTCAAACGTGCTGATGGCTAAGTAGTTAGCTCTGGGAGAACCATTGCAAAACCTATAAACTGAGTAAGATAAGTATTAAGCTATACTGAGTTAGTTTAGATAGTATATTGTGTATTGAGCTGTGTTGAGATATTTTAGACAGATAAGCTTAGTTGAGAAGATTGAGTTATAGTTATAGAAAGAGTCGTGACTACCTTGTCTCCAGGACTGACTTTAAGTTATAGAAAGGGAAAAAGCCTGCCTTTTTCTAAACCACAACAGCTTTAGGTTAGGGTGTTAAGATTCCAGAATCTTATCTGCCATCTGGAGAAAGGGTTGCCTCTGTAACTATAGGAAAGAAAGAATATTTTTGTAGCTTCATCTATTGACTGTTTGTTTGCAACTGTATGAACTGTTCCAAGTCTTCAAGGACTTTGTGTAAATAAATTTTCTTTTTTGATGTTTAAAACCAGTACTGGTCTCAGTTGCTTAGTATCTTAAGTTTTCAAGATAGACAACTGCAGTTCGCTCAGCTATAGAGAGAAGCACGAGTCTTATTTTTTATAGCGTCTGGGCGGACGGCACAAGGTTGGCAGAAGCCTGGCTAACAGCGGGAGCTCAACCTGTTCCCAGATCTGAATCGGCAACCGGTCAGCAAGTTCAGTTGATCAGCGGTTTAACCCACTGCGCCACCGGGGGCTCCTTCACTGACAGTCTACTGTAATAATAATAATAATAATAATAATAATAATAATGCAAAATAAAATCCCAGGTGACAGTAGGATTACAGAGAAACAACTGGAATAGCTGACACGATATGAGGATTTAAAAATCGAACTGCAAAGACTCTGGCACAAAAGAGTAAAGGTGGTCCCAGTGGTGATCGGCACACTGGGTGCAGTGCCTAAAGACCTTGGCCTGCACTTAAACACAATCGGCGCTGACAAAATTATCATTTGCCAGCTGCAGAAGCCCACCATACTGGGATCTGCACACATTATTTGCCAATACATCACATAGTCCTAGACACTTGGGAAGTGTCCCACGTGGGATCCAATTCAACAGCCAGCAGAGTGTCTGCTGTGGACTCATCTTGTTGTGTTTTAAATAATAATACAAAATATGGATCGTTGATGTTGCAATCCCAGGCGACAGCAGGACTGAAGAGAAACAACTGGAAAAGCTGACACGATATGAGGATTTAAAGATTGAACTGCAAAGACTCAGGCACAAGCCAGTAAAGGTGGTCCCAGTGGGGATCGGCACACTGGGTGCAGTGCCTAAAGGCCTTGGCCTGCACTTAAACACATTGGCGCTGACAAAATTAATATCTGCCAGCTTCAAAAGGCCACCTTACTGGGATCTGCACACATTATTCGCTGATACATCACATAGTCCTAGACACTTGGGAAGTGTCCAACGTGTGATCCAATACAACAGCCAGCAGAATTATCTTGTTTGCTGAGAACTCATATTGTTGTGTTTCAAGTAATAATAATAACAACAACAATAATAAATGCATTACCCACTTCTCAATAATAATAATAATAATAATAATAATAATAATAATAATAATAATGAATTTATTACCCTCTGTCCTTATTTAATGTGATAATAATAAGTATAATTATATTTCCTGTCTCTCCTTATCTAGTCAATGCTATGCAATGCTGGGATTTGTAGTTTGGTGAAGAACTAGCATTCTTAATAATAATAATAATAATAATAATAATAATAATTAATAATAATAATAATAGTGTATGGTACAGTATAGTGTATGGTGTGAGTTGGGCCTGTTTTTAATAATAGGCCCAACTCTTAACTACATTTATCCGGCATCAATCTCCATATGGTGCCAGTGAACTAAGAGTCTATTCTATATTAATTCTATAGCATAAATACACCTAATGCTATGGAATTCTGGAATTTGCAGTGCGGAGAGATGCTAGCCCTCTTGAAAGGGGCTTAAAAAGCCAAGGTTCTATAGCCTTGAGCCATGGCAGTTGAAAGTGGTGCCAAACTGCACTAATTCCACAGTGTAGATGCTCCTGTAGGGATGTATATGTTGATGGGTTCTAGTGTGTATTCCTGCATTACGAGCTCTTTCTCTTTTTCCCGGTCCAGGCAGCTGCGAAGATGTCCCGGGTGCCATTGCCTGACCTTGCCCAACGTCCCCATTGACGTCTACATTGCCATGGGAGGCAGCCACCGGCCACGGACCACCTGAGGCTCCCCCAGCACAAAAGGCCACAACAGCCGCCCCCCCTTGGGAACACGCAGACGGACAGACGAGGGGCGGCCGCGCAGGAAGCCACACAAAACAGTGACCCACATTTTAATAAAAGGACACCTTAAAATGTTTCGGTGGCCATCGTTCCTCGAGGCCTGATTTGCTTCTCTCTCTTTGTGAGAAAGGGATGGAGTGGGGCCACAATTCGTGGCCTTGTCTGAACTTGGGGGCCAAGGGCTGAGGCACGTAGGATCAGAGACAGAGAGGGCCCCTTCTGTCAAGCAGGACAACACAATCCAAGCCCTCCAAACAGAGGGCCATCCAAGCCCATAGACAGAAGCAGGTTCATGGAGAAATAGGGCTATAAGATCAAAAATCCTAGAGTTATAATAGACCCCAAGGGACATCCAGTCAAACTCTGTCCTGTGAGGCAGGAAGACACCATCCAAGTCCTCCTGACAGATGACCATCCATCCCTAGAAATGATTGAAATAGATAGATAGGTAGATAGATATGATTAAGAGAGTTATATTGTAGGTATATCATAGAATTCTAGAGTTGGAGGAGGCCCCAAGGGCCATCCAGTCCAACCTGCTTTTGCCAGGCAGAACATAATCCGATCCCTATCAACAGAGGGTCATCAGAGTCCAAAGACAGAAGCAGGGTCATGGAGAAAAAGGGCTGTAGGATCAAAAGATTCTAGATTTATAACAAACCCCAAGGGCCACCTAGTCCGACTACCATTTGTCAGATAGGTGGGCACAATCCAAGCCTTCCCGACAGATGGCCATCTACACCTCCAGAGAAGGAGACTCTGCTATCCATTCCGCTTTGAGTGTTTCCATCTTGAAAGTTCACAGAATAAATAGAATACCCAAAGCTCTCCCCTCGACCGCCACTTGAGGAGCGCCCCTCAGCTCACAACAGCCCTAGCAATCCGGGGGGAGCCTCAGCTTTCTTGCCTCGCTGCCGGGCAATCCTCTTCCCAAAGAGGCCGGGCCCTTGAGCCTCGCCTCGCCCCTCTCGTTCCTGCTCCACCCGGCCACCGGGTGCAGCAGAGCCGGCGCTCAATCGTTCTCCGCGTTCGATCCCTTCCCCATGACCGGCTCCCTTTCCTGATCCCCCGGCGCTCCACCCGCCTCCTCTCCTCTCCCCAATCCACGGGTGGACCAAGGGGCGGAGCTGCCGCGCCTGGTCTGCTTCGGGTCCAGAGGCGTGTCTGAAGACCCCAGCGTGCGCACCAAAAGTCACCTCTTCTCCTGACTTTCTCTTCAGCCATTGGGACCAAGAGAGAGAGAGAGAGAGAGAGAGAGCCCCTCCGGCTGGAGGTATCTCCCACCTCCGCTCCCTCCTTTGTTTTTGCGCCTACCTTCAGGAAAGGTGGGCATCTCCACCTCTCTCTCTCTCTGTCCCAATGGCTGAGGTGAAAGTCAGGAGAAGAGGTGACTTTTGGTGCACACGGTCTTCAGGCACGCCTCCGGACCCAAAGCGGGCCAGGCAAGGGAGCAAATGCGGCAAGTGTAGTTACTGGGATGTATAGTTCACCTACAATCAAAGAGCATTCTGAACTCCACCAATGATGGAATTGAACCTTGTGGGTCCGCATGTGGCTGTGGAGCCCTATTCTTGCTCTGTATCTTCTTCCGCAGTGTAGGGCATTGGTTTCCAGGTGGAAGGCGGTCCCGGTCGGGGTTGGCTTGACGCGCCTTCCTCCTGGCACGTTTCTCTCTTCACCCTCCACTCGTGCCTCCTCAAATTCTGCAGCACTGCTGGTCACAGCTGTCCTCCAGCTGGAGCGCTCAAGGGCCAGGGCTTCCCAGTTCTCAGTTTCTATGCCTTGAGGCGCTCTCGGGGGAAAATAGACCTTGACATATGCGAGTTGTAGTTACTGGGATGTATAGTCTACAATCAAAGAGCATTCTGAACTCCACCAATGATGGAATTGAACCAAATATGGCACACAGAACTCCCATGACGAACAGAAAATATATATCAATGATTGGTTGGGGGGGGGGGGCGCCAAAATACTGTTTGCTTACCATTGAAAATTACCTAGGGCCGCCTCTGCACAGATATATAAACCCCTTTTTTCCCAGCTCCAGCAGACCTCACTACCTCTGAGGATGCTTGCCATAGATGCAGGCGAAACGTCAGGAGAAATGCCTCTAGAACATGGCCATATAGCCCGAAAAAACCCACAAGAACCAAGGCCACTTTCTTGGGGCGCCTGTCTCTTTAAAAAGGGGCGTGTCCGGGGAGGTCCCACCGCGAAGGCTTTTTTGTCCCCCGCCGGTTCCCGTCGCCCTCCTCTTCCCCCCTCCCTATTGAAGCCCCACCCCTTCCGTTCCGGCTGCCCCTATTGGTCCGGCCCTGCCGCCATATTGTCGCCGGAGGAAGCGGCAGCGGAGGAGGCGGTGGCGGCCCGAGCTGCGGCCCGCGCGACGGAGGAGGCAGACATGGGTGAGGCCCGCTCCCCTCGCCCTTTCCCTTCCCCAGGCTCCGGAGGGGCCTCTCTGGGCCTGGGTATCGGCCTTTCCTTTCCCGGAGGCCTCGGCCTCGCCCAAGACTCCTTCCCGGCCCCTCAGGCCTGCCTTGCGCACGCCGGAAAGACGCCCTTCTGAGGGGGACAGGCCTTTACGCAGAAGGATTCATCACCTGATATTAATTACATCGAGTGTTTGAGGCATTTTAAAATTCTGACCGTGATATTAGGCATTATTATTATTATTATTATTATTATTATTATTATTATAGTGTGTGTATATTGAAGCCTCAGAGAGGAAAGGGGTCACTCTCCCAGCTTTATAGTATTATGAGTATTATTATTAATAGTCATTTAATAATAATAATAATAATGTTATTATTATAATAATAATATAATATCCATCTATATATAAATGAGTACCTTAAAAACAAAAGAACCAATGAACGAAATCACACCAAATTTGGCAACAAAACGCCTCACAACACAAGGAGTGACCATCACTCAAAAAAATTACCATTTTGTCATTTGGGAGTTGTAGTTGCTGTGATTTATAGTTTACCTACAATCAAAGAGCATTCTGAACTCCACCAACGATGGAATTGAACCAAACTTGGCCAACAAACCCCCCCCTGACCAACAGAAAACACTAGAAGGGTCTGGTGGGCATTGACCTTGAGTTTTGGATTTGTAGTTCACCTACATCTAGAGAGCATTGTGGACTCAAACAATGATGGATCTGGACCAAACTTGGCACGAATACTCAATATGCCCAAATATAAACACAGATTCATCAGAGCCGTTCAGCAGTGGAACTCTCTGCCCTGGAGTGTGGTGGAGGCTCCTTCTTTGGAAGCTTTTAAACAGAGGCTGGATGGCCATCTGTCAGGGGTGATTTGAATGCAATATTCCTGCTTCTTGGCAGGGGGTTGGACTGGATGGCCCATGAGGTCTCTTCCAACTCTTTGATTCTATGATTCTATAGATGCAGGCGAAACAAGACCTTGACATTTGGGAGTTGTAGTTACTGGGATTTATAGTTCACCTACAATCAAGGAGGATTCTGAACCCCACCAACAACAGAATTGGGGCAAACTTCCCACACAGAACCCTCATGACCAACAGAAAATACTGTGTTTTCTGATGGTCTTTGGTGACCCTTCCGACACCCCCTACACCCCCCCCCCCCCGGGGTCCCAAACCCCAGGTTGAGAAATGCTGCTTTAAGGCCATCCAGTCCAACTCCCTTCACCAGGGCAAGAAAGGGCCATCCAGCCATTCACATATATGTATATGATAGATGCAGTATCATAGATTTGAAAGGGGCCCCTAAAGAAGGACAACTATATGTTCCATGTTCCAGGGTGGGCAAACCAGACAATCTCCACATCAACACTGGCAAAGAAACAGCAAGAAATACTGATTACCCATAAGCAGAAAGACATTACATATATTAGAAACCAACACTTTCTCATTACTTTAATTTCCAGATCAGCAGACTGGGCCACAGCAACGCGTGGCAGGGGACCGCTAGTATAGTTATATAATATATTATTTAGTGTTTGGGGCATTTAAGAATTATGACGATAATAGTCATTATTTTATTGCTAAAGTTTGTGTATATTGAAGCCTCAGAAAGAAAAGGGGTCACTCTCCCAGCTTTATAATATTATTATGAGTATTATTGTTAATAGTCATTTTAAAATAATAATAATGTTATAACATTATAATAACATATTATTATAATATTATTTAATTATATAATATGTTATTTTGTGTGGGGCATTTTAGAATTATGACGATTATAGCAGTCATTTTTAGTGCTAAGTTTGTGTATATTGAAGCCTCAGAAAGAAAAGGGGCCACTCTCCCAGCTTTATAGTATTATTATGAGTATTATTATTAATAGTCATTTTAAAATAATAATAATGTTATAACATTATAATAACATATTATTATAATATTATTTAATTATATAATATGTTATTTTGTGTGGGGCATTTTAGAATTATGATGATTATAGCAGTCATTTTTATTGCTGAAGTTTGTGTATATTGAAGCCTCAGAAAGGAAAGGGGCCACTCTCCCAGCTGTATGATTTTATGAGTATTATTAATAGTCATTTTAAAATGATAATAATAATCTTATAATATGATAATATAATATAACATTATTCTATAGTCATTTAATAATTTTTTAAAATGATGATATTATAATTATAATGATATAATATAATAACATTATTCTATATAATGATAATATTATTAGTTAGTGTTTGTGGCATTTAAAATTATGACAGTCATATCCGTAATTATTTTTATTGCTGAAGTGTGTGTATATTGAAGCCTCAGAAAGGAAAGTGGTCACTCTCTCAGCTTTATGATATTATCAGTATTATTAATAGTTATTTTAAAATAATAATCTGATAATATAATTATAATAGTATAAGATAATAACATTATTCTATATGATGATGATAATATTATTATTTAGTGTTTGGGGCATTTTAGAATTATGACGGTTATATCAGTCATTATTTTTATTGCTGAAGTCTGTGTATATTGAAACCTCAGAAAGGAAAGTGGTCACTCTCTCAGCTTTATGATATTATCAGTATTATTAATAGTTATTTTAAAATAATAATCTGATAATATAATTATAATAGTATAAGATAATAACATTATTCTATATGATGATGATAATATTATTATTTAGTGTTTGGGGCATTTTAGAATTATGACGGTTATATCAGTCATTATTTTTATTGCTGAAGTTTGTGTATATTGAAGCCTCAGAAAGGAAAGGGATAACTCAGCTTTATGATATTATGAGTATTATTAATAGTCATTTCAAAACAATAATATTCTTATAATATGTTAATTATAATAGTTTAATATAATAATATTATTCTGTATAATGATAATATTATTATTTAGTGTTTGGGATATTTTAGAATTATGACGATAATATCAGTCATTATTTTTATTGCTGAAGTTTGTGTATATTGAAGCCTCAGAAAGGAAAGGGGTCACTCTCCCAGCTTTATGATATTATGAGTATTATTAATAGTCATTTTGAAATAATGTCATTATTGCAATAACATTACAATATTACAATTACAATATAACAATATATAATCACATTATTTTCTGAGGATTCAATATATATGTACTTCAGCAAAAACGGTGCTCCATGCACTCATGCCGGCCACATGACCTTGGAGGTGTCTACAGACAACGCTGGCTCTTCGGCTTACAAATGGAGATGAGCACCACACCCCAGAGTCGGACACGACTGGACTTCATGTCAGGGGAAAACCTTTACCTTTACCTACCTTAGCAATAATAATAATTACTGATATTATTGTCATAATTATAAAATCCCAAACACTAAATAATAATTAACAATGTTATTATTATAATAACATTACAATGTAATAATTATAACATAATCTAATAACAATTTATTATTATTATTATTATTATTATTATTATTATTTAGTGTTTGGTGCATACCAGATTCGGTATGGCTGATCTGAGATGGCTGATCTGAGATGGTTTTAAACAATTTATTTTAAAGTGGAGATAACTGATTTTAGTGTTTATGTATATTTTATAGTTTATTTTATGTTCCGGCATTGAATGTTTGCCATATATATGTTGTGCGCCATCATGAGTCCCCTTTGGAGTGAGACGGGCGGAATATAAATGCTTTAAATAATAATAATAATAATAATAATAATAATAATAATATAATAAAAAATGTTATAATTAAGACGATAATATCAGTCATCCTTATTATTGCTAAAGTGCATGTATATTGAAACCTCGGAAAATGATGTTATTACATTGTTATAATTATTATATTGTAATATTATAATAATAACTATTATTATATTGAAACCTCAGAAAGGAAAGAGGTCACTCTCTCAGCTTTATTTATGGTGTTATTATAATAACTTTATTCTTATACTTCGCCACCATCTCCTCGAAGGGACTCGGGGCGGCTTACTTACGGGACAAAATTCCCACAGACACAAATACAAAACAATCCATCAAAGCAAAAGCACAATTAAAATAAAAAACATAGTTAAATATACCAATCCAGATAGAAGCACAATTCAATAAAACATATAAGAGTATAAAACAGCAATGTTAAAACTCAGTCAGAACAATATTAGACAAAACTTATTTTATATTTTTGAATAATAAGAAGATATGATCCAAGAAGATGGAATGGAAGTCATTTTTTTCTTTTTTCTTTTTTTGTGTTTTTTGTGTATTTTTGTAAAATAAAATTCTTTTTTTTAGGGGTTATTTGGGGTTTTAGCATACTTTTTTGCTTCTTCTTGTTTCTTTTTTTTCTTCATTTCTTCACTTTCCTATACTTTATTGTTCTCTTTCGTTGTAATCTATATAAAAATTAATAACATTCTAATAATAAAAAACAATATTAGACAAAACCAATTGCCAGTAGTACAATGGACGTGACCATTATTATTAGTATTATTAATAGTCATTTAAAATAATAATGTTATTATAAAATAAACATTTTACAATATAATAATTATAACATAATATTATTATATAATAATTTATTATTTAGTGTTTGGGGCATTTCAGAATCATGACAATACTATCAGTCATTATTATTGCTGAAGTTTGTGTGTGTTGAAGCCTCAGAAAGGAAAGAGGTCACTCTATCACCTTTATGGTATTATTATGAGTATTATTAATAGGCATTTTAAAATAATAATCTTATAATATGATAATTATAATAATAATAAAATAATAACATTATACATAATGATATTATTATTTATTGTTTAGGGCATTTTAGAATTATGACGATCATAGCAGTCATTACTGTTGCTGAAGTTTGTGTATATTGAAGCCTCTGAAAGGAAAGAGGTTACTCTCTCAACTTTATTGCATTATTATGAGTATTACTATTAGGCATTTAATATTAAAAATAATGA